CATTAGTTACTTGCCCCCCAAAGAGCCTTGACCATATCTAGTCTGTCATGCATCAATTCACTGCCTATTGGTACAAAACCAGCCACTTTGTCTAAATTTTAATGTAAGCGTGTGATAAATGCGAAGAAACCTGGCCAGGGTGCAGAAATACACAAAGGGCCCAGGAAACGGCCTCATTTTAGCTTTCTGTCTTCAGAAAGATCTCATGTCTGGGCTAAAATGTTTCTGTTTCTAGTTCCCGTCTTTTTTTCCTTTTTTTTTTCTTGGTACTTAGGGCTTTTCGCTTCTAGTACATTAATTTCCCAACACACCAGCAGATCTTGGAAAATATCAAAAAGATGCTAACTACCTGCAACCTCCAAAACAGACTTGCTACTCTATCTGGGTATGTCTGCCTTTATCTTTCTAAGCATGCTTTATGAGTCTGTTATAATCTGTTAAAGTAATAACACTGTTAAAGTAATAAGATAAAGTAACACCTTGCACTGGTCCTAACAGTGTTATCGAGAGCCAACCGTTTGGTGGCAATGACAAACTACTGAGCGTTAATTTGCCTAGAAAAACTGCAACAGCCAAACACATGCTGGGGCCGGTTCTGCAACATCCTGTAAAGGATACACAACGAACAATAAAGGAACATTACAGTTGGGAAACTCTTCCAGTACCAGTAAACTCACTGGTTATTCTTTACTTAGTATACATCTATTTATTTTTCCTATCCCATTCTTCTGTTATGTTAACTCCTTAAAAAAAATTTCTATAAGACTAAATATATATATATATTTACAAGGATATATATATATATATATATATATATATATATATATATATATATATATATATATATATATATATATATATATATTTAAAAAAAAAAAAAAAAAAAAAATAAACCAAAAAAAAAACAATTGTACAACTACAGCACAGACATTAATAAATTAAAAGATATCTGGGACTGGAAGGGAACAAACAGTCTGCATCAGAAATCAGGAACAATACACAGAATAATATAAAAGAACAAGACATTTTCTATGTTTACCAGTTACAAACACAATATGTCCCTAGAAAAGAAAGCTTTAGAATATCACAGTTTCTTTTATACCTTTCTGTTTTAAATTGTAACAAAAGAAGTTGTTTTTTTTCCCCAACTTTTCTGTAATAAATTTTAACAGAATCACAGTTTAAAAAAAACAAACAACTTAGCAAATTTAATTTTAACAAGAGAACACCTAAAAGAAAATAAAAGCTAAGAAATTCTATGATGCACATACATTTGCCCACAATCTAGATTTTTAGAAATTCAAATGCTAATCATAGTAGATTCTTTTCGTCATCATAAATGTCCAGTTTTGCCATTCATCATCAGGGAAAGGGACAGTTTGTGATCCATTGCTTCATGTATAGCAATGGCTATTGTCATTCCCTGTTAATGCAAAAGCTCTTTAATGCCATCAGTCCATCTTCTCCTAGGGCGACCTCCTGATTTTACTTCAGAGTTTTTCCTGTGTAGCACCCATCATGGTAGCTGTTCTGTCAGCATTCTAAAAGGATGACCAAACCATTTGATCTTCTGTTTCTCAATGAATTTGGAGCTAGGTGATATTTCTTTACAGTCTGATACTATCATTTCTCACTTTGTCTCAAATGGTTGAACTGCCAGTTTTCCTCAGTCAACAAAGACTAAGTTAATCATGCTCATTTGTTCTTTGATATTTACTTTGATCAAAATGTTTGCCTGAATTTGTTTGTGGATTTATTTTTGCCTGAATCCCAAGTTACATTTAGAAAAATTATTCATTTATTCTACTGCTTGAGTAAATCAGAATGACTAACAAAGAAAAAAAAAATTCATTTAAAAAAAAAAAAGAAAGAAAGGGAAGGAGGTTTAGTTGTCATAATATTAACAAGTACACATATTTATATAATTACACACATGTATATCACTTGTGGCAATGCTATGTACACAATGACAGTAGCTGTGGTTGAATACAACACTATCAGAACATTTACAGCATCATTCAGCTATAAAGCAGTGCACTTTTGTGTTGCTAAACTCAAGGGAAATAAAACATTTTTTATTCACGATCAATTAAATGTGCTCAGTACTGTAGGGCATAACTATCTTGGAGCAGTCACAACATCTGGTGGAAAATGCCTTGCACACAGAAAATGTGTGGCAGAAATTGTGTTTTGCATGGCAGAAAATATAAAATAAAAAATAAAAAAAAAAAACAGCCTACCAGCTGCGATGAAAAAAACAAACAAAAGGAGTGTTGAAGTACTATTTGAAACCTATGTTTATGTTTATTAAACGGATCAACATCATAGCATACTGGTGTAACCCATAAGCGCTCCGTTCTTCTTCTAACTCACGCCTGAGTCTGAAGAATCTCAGCGCAGTGCAGACACTTTGTGGCACCGAACGAGGCTCCTAAAATACTTTGGCTAGATTTTTAACTCCAAATTTTGCCCGGGCAGCGCTGTTAGGCTCCTTTTTTTCAATTTCAAACTGCACAACAATACACACGGACGTCTTGTCTTACTACCCAGAGACCAGGGGAAATTACTAGAAGTCCACATGAAAAAATCCTAACCTTCACCGGGGCTTGAACCCAGGACCTCTAGCACTTGAGGTGGACACCATGTCTTGAGACCACGTAGCCTCGTGTTGAAACCTGTACTCCCCATATGGGTTCTGTTGGCCCCAATTTCGGCGAAAGAAGAATCTACTCACTGACCCCAAAACAAGTATGTCATACAATATGACCAATTAGGGGAGTGCTGAAATTGGATGTATTGAACGGAAACGTGCATATATCACAGCCCACCTGTAAACGAAATCGCAGTCAGCCAGCTACTATTTTAAGCACGGATACAAAAGAAGGAGAAAAAATTAAAAGAGAGTGATCCTGTTTCACAACTGCCACACTAGGATTGACCTAGATACCTACAACCTCTATTTCTCAATCTCTGATTACTACTTTCAACATTTCTCTCTAAACCTTTCCTTCTTCTCTCACTTGACAAGTATTTTTTGCTTGGAAATTATATAAACGTAATTCAGAAGAGATATACCCCCGTGTGGGTTCCGGGGCCCCATTGTGGGGAAAACAAGAATAGACCCACTGCCTCCCCAAAAGCATGTCGTAAGAGTCGACTAATTGGGAAGCTTCCTTTGAAGTCGGAGTGCATCTGCTGGAGAGGCAAGGAACCAACAGTCTGTATTCAAGAGAATGAGATCTGTAAAACTGATGCACACACAACACTCAGGTTCTGGAGCAGGACTGCAGTTCAGTAGTGGACGAGCAACCAGAACCTTCCGCCAGAGTTTACAGCTGGTGAACGTGAAGAAGAAGAAGAAAGAAGAGATATACTCACAAATATTTTAACCATAAGGTAATAAAACATTCAATTAAAAATACGAGATATGACTACCAGCCAACAGATGGTCAAAACTATTTATCATAATCTGATTATAGTTTTTTTGTGTTTTCGTGTGGCCATTAAAAAAAATCATGAATGCCTCTTTATGGTTTTGGAGATAAGTTGCCCTTATATCTTTGCCTCTATGTAAACATCTGAATTAAATCCACACTGTGAATTTTAAGCAATATAGTCTGTGTGTCGGCTCTGTGGCTAAGTCGAAGCAAACGTTTCGCAAAGCCGTGATGCCGGTTTGATCTCAGCTGCAGGCCATGCACCTTGCGCTGGTTTTGACAGTGGTATCAAGAAAACCGACCGTTCAGAAAGCAATGGCAAACTATACTGGATGTAAATTTGCCTAGAGAAACCACACAACAGCCAGGGGCTGCTGGGGTTGGTTCTGCAACATCCTGTAAAGGATACACAACTAACCTTTTAGTCTGTGTGCAGTGTGGTTGGCTTTAGTAATCTTATGTGGGAATACTGAATTGAGAATTGGCATCATAGCAATGGCACAATTCCCTTAAGCACTCTGTCCCCATCTTCAGCAGCAAGCACTGAGTTACAATTCTGATGGTACCAGTAACATTCTGGTTGTATATATCTGTCTCGCCTTTCCCTTGATTACTGAGCTTTGTCCAGACCATCTGGCCACTCCTCACAGTACCATTCTCCCCAGATCTGACTTGTTTACTCGCTACCAAAGGACCCTTAAAACCTCTAGGTTGTCATGCATCAATTCACCACCAAATACTGCAGAATCAGCCATGCTATCTGCCTGTTCATTTCCCAACACACCAGCATGATCTGGAGAAAATATCCAAAGAAAGCTACCTACCTAGGATGCATGTATAGCTGGTGTTTCAAGCCAATGAAAGGCTGCAGTGATTGCCTCCAAATCCTTTCTAAAAATTGTGGGATAGAATGGGAAATTCTACGCATGAAATTTAACTAGCTTATAAAAACTATTTGTAACTCAGTTTTCATTTTAACACTGAAATAAATTCTTTTTTTTTTTTTCAGTCCAACTTACTGGACGGAGTAAACTTAGTTCACCTCGTCTGACTGATCACGTATGTTCTTCAGACTTCAAGATCTGGTCACAGCAAACTAAAAGATGTGGCTCTCCAAGGGTAAGTAATGCACCTCTAATTTATTATTGTAGTTATTTCCCCTACATTATGTACTGTGGAGGCTTTTCCCTAGCATAAAGTAAAAGAAAATAATGCAGCACAAAGTTATAAAAAAGAAAGTAGCTAATTAACAGTAAAATATCTGAAGCAGTACAAACATCACATTAAAACATAGCCCATAAAGTTATGTTAACAATGGCAATTGTTAATTTTACAGATGTTAACAATATTTTTACATTATCAATGGCAAATCTCGCTTCACACATTAAAATGAATTCAGATTAAGAAAAATAGTGTGTTTAAAAAAAAAAATGCACAAGATACATTTTTACATTATCAATAAAGCTTCAACATTAATGAATTCAGATTAAGAAAAAGTGTTTAAAAAACCCCTTCACATTAAAGGAAAAACAAAAAAGTGACCCTTTCAAAAAAAAACAGATGTCAGTGTTTCGATGGCGAGACATTCTTTCCTGTCTCTTTTTGTGGAGATTTCTGTGCGGGCTCATTACATCCTTGCTGTCTGATGTTGTAAGGGGAGTTCTCTTCTCCTAGCAACCAGTAGGTGACAACTGTACCTTTGCCCTGAAAAACAAACAAACACTTGACAGAAACCCTTAGCTATGTGCAGTACATTGTCCTACTGGCTAGCTGAAACATACAACAGTGTGGGGAGCATGATGGCCCAATTGTCCCAAATTATGTAAGAGAGGTGAGAATGGCTTGAAGAGCATGGCTGCTGAGTCTTGAGGATAGACTCGATACTATCTATACACCAGTGTTTCCCAAACTTTTCTTAGTTGGTGCAATTAAAAGTTTTCCACGGCACCCTAAGTAAAAGTATGACTATTCGTATGTAAGAGTTTAAAAAAAAAAACATGTGTATCTTCAAATATTTTACGGTGCCCCTGTGAAGAGGTCGAGGCTCCCCAGGGAGCCATGGCTCACAGTTTAGGAATCACTGCTATACCTGACTGAATAACTTGCAGAGTTAGGAGAAACCTAAAACTTTACTCAGCAGATGAAGATCCAGAAACAATCCTACAGATTTGGAAGCATTCTTCTCAAGTTACCAGAACCCTCATTAACTATATGAGAATTTTTTTGTATCAAAAGAAGGCATGGTTTTACAATGCTGAACATCAGTGAGCTGCAATTCTGGCATAGGACCATTACTGTTGGCACATCTGACTGCTGCTTATGCATTTTTACTTTGTATGAGCAAGCTTCAAGATTTTGCTGGCCCTGACAAGTTTTTCACTAGTTTTCAAATGGGAAATTCGTGTGTGATTTCCACTGGCACAGTAAAAGAGCAGTTTTGAGACAACCCGTCTGCAGAGATGTTAAAACCTGGACGAACAACTATAATCCATTCCAGAACATGTGCCCAACTTAAAAAATCTGTAACTCAGTAACCATGAGGTGGAAGTTGTTAAAATTTGGCATGTAACCTGGTAATAATCATGTCCTTATAACAAATGGTTTTTTTTATGTAAATGAACTAGTTTTCATTTTGCCTTATTTGCTGTATATGAAAAATAGCCACCGATTAAAATCGTACATTCAGTTTGCTTATAGTTAACTGAATAATGTTGTGTGTTGTTCGTCCTTAACGCGTGATAAAGACCACTTTCATCCAAAGTAGTAATGACCAATGACTATGAGTACGAAGGTGGCTGATTAGTCCAATATGAGCCAGGAAAGTTTTTGAGCAGTACAGACAACAGGTGGAAGCTGCAGTAAGTGTGGGATTAGCAGTACGATTCTTTCTAGTCTGCCTCCCTTTCTCTGCCTGTGCAACCTCCGCTGCCTGGCCGGCTGATGCACCATGCCTGAGGGACAAGCTGGATGAAAGTGACTTGTGCAAGGACTTGGATTTAAATAAGGAAGAGCTGCGCACTAAGTAATAGGAACTTTTCAAAAACATCAAAATTGGATTGAGGTTAACAGGTGTTTCACTCTCAAGTGGTCATCTTGGGCGTTAGTCTCCCTGAGTTGTCAGTTTTTCATTTTATGTTGTATAGGCTATCAAAATAATCAGGATGCATCACTGCACAAGGGGACTGATTTCCAAACGATCTCCATGTGTGTTTCAGTTACTGTATATTCTATTTGTTTAGGGGTATACACATTATTAGTCACACACAAATTAAAGAAGTTCACCACTTTAAGAAAACAGCACCACCTGTGCAATTGTAAATTATAAAATTATAAGAGCATAGGAAATCTAAGGTCATGTGCAAAAATGTGCGTTGATTCATACAAGATTTGTGAGACATTTGTTAAAGTGTGAACGGCACCAGTTTTGAAACGTACCATAATATCTCAGTTTGTTTACTATCTTATAACACCTTACCTTTATGTATTATGCAGTGCAAGCACTGCACTAATGATTGCAGGAAAAAGCATGGACAGAGCAGATATCGTCAATGCTGTACGAACTGGGCTAGTGGAAAATGAGGAATCTCTGACACTAACACGATTGCGTGACATAGGAGTTAAGCATGGTGATGCACGTCTTTGCCGTCTTCGTGGCCGAGATGGGAGACGATATAACCAGCTTCTCATGGGGACAATTAGTAGAAGTACTTTGGAGTGGCTGCTGCTTCGGAGAACTGAGCACGCATGGGTATGCCCAATGTGCAGTGACATCAAGTGTGATAACAAAACATAAAATATCTTGTAGGGAGTCAGCAGTCCGAAACCCAAGTTCAAGGTGTCTCCTTCGTGCCAAAGAACTGCATGGCTGTTGGGTAAACAGTCGTTAACGAAGGCAGGCAGGTCGTTGTAGGGGCGATGCCTGCTGGTGGATGTAATGTCCTAAGTCCCTTCCCCAGCTAATAATGAGGGTACTGCTGGGGTGACCGTTTATTTACCCTCATATAATGCTTCAGGTCAAAATGGACGCTAGGCACGGCCACCTTTTTTCCCCCTGCCAGACCGTGGCCGTTGCATTTTTGCTCCATTTGTAGACTGGAAGGATTTTGTAGACTGGAAGGATATAGTTTCGTTGCCCAGCTTCTGAGTTGAGTGCATGGCGTGACACTGTGAGCTACATGTGTTTTTCGTTGGCACAGGACCCGTTTGCTATGAAGCTGAAACTAGGATTACCAGATTACCAGATTACCTTTGTAAAGATAGAACGTTCACTTATAGCTTCTATTTCACAAGCATCATTACTACCCATTTTACCTCATTCCATTTAGAAAGCTGGAATAACTGGAATTTAAACTGCTTAGTAAATCACAGTGGCAAGGTGTGCATGTGTCAGCTATAATCACTGGTTACCCTTTATATTGCCAAAGAAGAATGCATTATTCTACTATTTATCATTATAGTTTACTATTTACTAAAATATGCCACTAAGTTTATGTCTCGAAAATAGCAGAAATAAAACTCGCTGTAGGCTTACGCCACTCATATAGAAACTGTAATGTGTGAAAGCGACCAGTTACTATAACTATAATGTTAGCTGCCAAATGCACAGTCAGTCAACAGCAAAGCTACAGGATGGAAAATATCATGTGATACCCTGTGCAGTGTAACTGCTACCTGCTAATGCTTACACACGCTGACTGATAAGACCTCGCAACTAGTAAATCCATACAACATGTAATAAATGTTGGATTACGACACCCTATAAAGCACTTAAACTTAGTGACTTAATAAACATATAGTACCTTCATCTCTACAGCACCCCTCATCTCCAAATGGAATGTTCCAAACTGATCCAGCAGCTCTTTAGTGTATGGACTCACATGAATTCGAAGAGCTAAAACATTAAGAGTTAAAAAAAAATACATGTCTGTTACAATGAAACATTATGTGTCTGTTTAATGTTAAATGTTGAATTAGGAATCGACATCACAGCACTCAGGACACCACCATAAGCGCTCTATCCCCATCTTCAGCAGCAAGAGTTAGGCAGAAGGGTTCAAATTCCGATGGTACCAGTTACTGTCTGATTGTATATTCGTCTCGTCTTTCCCCTGAGTGTGGAGCGTCGGCAAGATTCCCTTGCAACTCCTCGCAGCGTCATTCTTCTCAGACCGTAATGATCTATTTGTGCCTCGCACTGTTCAATCGTTCCCAAAGGGCTCTCACAATATCTAGCTTGTCATACATCGGTTCACCACCAAGAGGTGCAGAACCAGCCAGTCAATCTGCCTGCTCATTTCCCAACACACCGGCATGACCTGGAGAAAATACCCAAAGGATGCTAACTAGCCAGGACCTTTGAAGTGATGTTTGTCACTGCATGGATATGTGTCTGTTATGATGAAACAATGTATGTGTGTGTCTGTGACAAAGTATGTACCTGGGACAATAAAATGTGTGCTTGTGATAATGAAACAATATGTATCTTTTACAGTGAAATCTTCGGGTATCTGCCTACTCTTGCAGATATCATCTACTATTTAGTCAACACTTGTATCCCAATGTAATCAACACATTTGATTTCTTTGACAGTTGTATTACCAAGTCTTGCTGATTTACATTTGGTGCACAGCATCTTCTTTTCTGTGTTAAATATTGGCGGTCTTTCACAGCGGTCATGACTTATTTCTGGTACAATCTTCTGAGCTACAGATAGAGCAGTCCAAAAGAAATGATGTAGGACCGTCTAAGATGGTGGTTAAAAAAAAAAGGAAGCAGTGGTAGTAATTTTTCAAACAATAATCTGTTCAACCGTCAGATTTATATTAGGATATATAGTTTTAACTGAGTTTCCAGAGTGTACACTTGTTTAATTTATATAAATTTGTTATTTTAAATTTATATATCTAATAATTATTATATGACTAAAACCTAATTTGTATTCTTTCACATTTTGCTTTGATTTTGGATGTGATTATGACAGTTGTACTATGAATAATTAGACAATTTTACTAACATTGTGATGTGAGATTTGTGGAGAGACCTATACCTCATATATACATCATGATGATGATGTTTTGAGTTCCAGAATTTAGAAACTTAATGTCATCACTTTCTATTATGAAAATGATAAGAGGTCCTTCGTGGGCATCAACATTCCAGTTAAAAATATACAGATCAGACAAATAGTAGAGATTCTCATTAAATGCAAAGTTTAGAGAATGCCTTACAACAGAACAGTCATATTTCAGGCTAGTCACAACAATGTTTCATCTGCTTGATACCTTTTGCCTTCTAGTGCTACTTATGTTTCCTATACAATCATCATCATGTAGCAGGTCTTTGCAAAACGTCACTCTCGCTACAGAAACTCAAGTCTCTCACCAACTCTTCCACCTCATGTACTTTTCTACCAAAGGTACTACTAATATCCTGTGCCCATCATCATACTGCTCAGTCCCTGCCCCTCTTTCCTGGTACAATGCCTTCTGCTATTTTTCCAGTCCACCATGGTGCTTGATATGCCCAAAATATTTGAGTTTTCAAGACAAGTTGCTGTTTACCAGCCAATCTTCCTTGATGTTCAGATCGTTAAGGATGCCAGTATTTCTTTCCTTCTTTGTCCATGGTATTCTAAGTATCTTTATATAGCAGTTCCGCTCAAAAGCCACTATATTCTTCTTAAATGCCTGAGAAAGTTAACCACTTACATCTGTATGTAGCTACCAGGAAGATGCATGCTCTAAAAATGTAACTTATGTTTTCCTTACTGGTGTTTTTTTCTCAGACTTTCAATGCTGTTTAATCTTTACATTGCTGTATCATCTATATCAACAAACACAAACATATCTGTGCTATCTCCACTATGCAGGTGGCCAGCTGCAGTTCTCCACTTTTATCTTTAAAAACGTTACATGGCTGAGTTGAGTCAAGAACTGACATCTCAGCACTCAGGGCATTCACATGTGTGCTCCGTCCTCATCTTCAGCAGCCAGCACAGAAATCCAATACTGATGGAACTGGTCACAACATGGTTATATGTCTGTCTTGCCTTTCCTTTGAGTTTACTGAGCCTACCAGACCCTCTGGTTACACCCAGGTGCCTCATTCTCTCCAGGCCATAATAATCTTTCTCTACTGATACTGTTGCTTGTTCCCAAAAGGCCTTGACCACATCTGCCTTGCCATGTATCAATTTACCATCCAGTGGCGCAGATCCAGCCAATCTATCTGCCTGTTCATTACCCACTACGCCAGCATAACCTGGAGAAAAGATCTAAAGTATGCTCACTACCCGTGAACTTCCCAGTGAAGCTTGCCACTCTGCTCGAAGCATCCCTGTCTTCACCTTTTTCAGCATGCTTTCAGGGTCTGTTACAATAACATGGTGAGTGTGTGATATTTTCTATTGTGTGGACTCCTCTACTGGTCCGCAAATCATAAGCATGTCTTTTTTAAAAAACATCTCACAACAGAATTCAAACCCTGGTGTGTCACTGACTGGATTGTGAAGCAATTTCACTAGGCTATAAGCCACACAGCCACACATTCCTCCTATTACTACTTCTCAAATTCCATAACAAAAGATTTAGCTGATCACCTGCATTATAAAATCGTAATGAAATGTTGTTGATGTCTTGTTCTAATTAATTTTTTCTTTAGTAAAACAGATTTTCATTAAATTTTATTCTTGCTAAACTACTTTTTGTTTTTTTCACATCTGCCAGCACTGAATTCAGCTTCTGGCTGTATTTTCTTAGCATAAAACTTGAACACTCGTAATCTCCATCACATTTTTGTCAGCCTCCTGAGCATTTTTTCTCCCTCCTTGATACACTCATTCCATTGAAAAAACTGGTAAACTAACCTCCTTGACACAATCTTCCCCCCTCCCCCGTCCGTCCTAGATACAGACTTATTTCTCCCTTCCTGACATACACATACATGGTTTAATTACTGCAAAATTATTTATAGTTGCAGAGATTTTATAATTAAATTTTTGTGTGTGCAAAAAAAATCACAAATAAAGGATATTCATCACAAAAGGAATTCTGTGCTGGGTCACCAGATTATGTCATTCGGTGCTTTTCCAGGTCAACTTTTCACCAACCTTTTAATTGTCTGCCAATGAAGAATTGCTACATTGTACTGCACTACTGTCTTAGTGAATATTACTTTGTGTCCCCCCCCCCTCCCCCTCCCCAAACACTTCCAGTGTGTGACTCTCACACAGTACCCAAATAGGCCTGTAAGTCATGATCTATAGAGCAGTAACGATTATTACACTACCTACTAGTTTCAGAAGTTTCAGTCTCCTGGTGTAGTGAAAAGTGAAAAATTAAAGTGGACTAACTGTGTGTCTTTGTACACTGTTAATGTGAATATTGAGAGGAGACATTTGTACATTTATTAACTCTTTGAGTCCCAAGGAACGCATCATACGTTCATAGTTTCCTACCTAGAAGCATAATGAACGCATGATGCGCCGATTTTATGACTCTCTTTACTACCCCCTGGGCCTGTGATGCTAAACCCCCTGGGACTCAAAGAGTTAATAATGTGGATATTTTAAGAAGACAAGAAATTATTATTGTGGAAAATGAAAGGAGACAATTGAGTATCCTTGGAAATTATTAATCTCAGTATTAGGATATACAAGAAGACAACTACAAATGGCACTATTACAAATGAGTTGCAACTTACGTAGTCCATTGGACTCCATTCTTGATGATGTGTTGACAGTATCTCCAAACAGACAGTACCGAGGCATTTTTAAGCCAACTACCCCAGCACAAACTGGACCTGGAGAACAAAGGGATTAGTTCTTAGGATTAGTTACAAACATTTTGAAGCTATCTACTCTGGCACACACTGGACCTGGAGAACAAAAGAGATTAGTTCTTAGGATTAGTTTCAAACATTTTGAAGCTATCTACTCTGGCACACAGTGGACCTGAAGAGGAGAGCAAAGAAGATTGGTTCTTAGGATTAGTTCCTATCTCTAAACTGGTTAGCTAACTACTCCAGCACACACTGGACCTGGAGAACAAAGGAGATTAGTTCTTAGGATTAGTTCCTACCTCTAAACATTTTTTAGCTGACTACTCCAGCACACACTGGGCCTGGAGAACAAAGGAGATTAGTTCTTAAGATTAGTTCCTACCTCTAAACATTTTTTAGCTGTAAGAAAGCATACCGCGATCGAAACCCACTGCAGGCTGCGTGGATTTTTATCGTGGTATGGGACGTCACAGGTCGACCCAGCCTAAAATGGGTACCAGGATGGGCTGTCCTGGGAAAGTAAAGACAGCCGGCGTAATGCTGACCACATTACCCACAGAGTGCTGATGGTCTGTAAAAATATGGGACGCTCTGCCCATATGCCCGATGCGCCGAAAGGCGTGAAAAGGGAACTTTACTTTTTTACTTACTCCAGCACACACTGGACTTGAAAAAAAAGGAGATTAGTTCTTAGGATTAGTTCCAAACATTTTGAGCCATCTACTCTGGCACACACTGGACTTGAGAACAAAAGAGATTAGTTCTTAGGATTAGTTCCGAACATTTTGAAGCTATCTACTCTGGCACACACTGGACCTGGAGAACAAAAGAGATTAGTTCTTAGGATTAGTTTCAAACATTTTGAAGCTATCTACTCTGGCACACAGTGGACCTGAAGAGGAGAGCAAAGAAGATTGGTTCTTAGGATTAGTTCCTATCTCTAAACTGTTTAGCTAACTACTCCAGCACACACTGGACCTGGAGAACAAAGGAGATTAGTTCTTAGGATTAGTTACAAACATTTTTTTGCTAACTACTCAAGCACACACTGGGCCTGGAGAACAAAGGAAATTAGTTCTTAGGATTAGTTCCTACCTCTAAACATTTTTTTAGCTAACTACTCCAGCACACACTAGACCTGGAGAACAAAGGAGATTAGTTCTTAGGATTAGTTCCTACCTCTAAACATTTTTTAGCTAACTACTCCAGCACACACTGGACCTGGAGAACAAAGGAGATTAGTTCTTAGGATTAGTTCCTACCTCTAAACATTTTTTAGCTTGCTACTCCAGCACACACTGGACCTAGAGAACAAAGAAGATTGGTTCTTAGGATTAGATCCTATCTCTAAACATTTTTTAGCTAACTACTCCAGCACACACTGGGCCTGGAGAACAAAGGAGATTAGTTCTTAGGATTAGTTCCTACCTCTAAACATTTTTTAGCTAACTACTCCAGCACACACTGGGCCTGGAGAACAAAGGAGATTAGTTCTTAGGATTAGTTCCTACCTCTTAACATTTTTAGCTAACTACTCCAGCACACACTGGGCCTGGAGAACAAAAAAGATTAGTTCTTAGGATTAGTTCTATCTCTAAATTTTTTTAGCTAATACTCCAGCACATACTGGGCCTGGAGAACAAAGGACTATTAGTTCTTAGGACAGTTCCTACCTCTAAACACCTTTTTAGCTAACTACTCCTTGCACACACTGGGACTGGAGAACAAAGGAGATTAGTTCTTAGGATTAGTTCCTACCTCTTAACATTTATAGCTAACTACTCCAGCACACACTGGGCCTGGAGAACAAAGGAGATTAGTTCTTAGGATTAGTTCCTATCTCTAAACATTTTTTAGCTAACTACTCCAGCACATACTGGGCCTGGAGAACAAAGGAGATTAGTTCTTAGGATTAGTTCCTATCTCTAAACATTTTTTAGCTAACTACTTCAGCACACACTGGGCCTGGAGAACAGAGGAGATTAGTTCTTAGGATTAGTTCCTATCTCTAAACATTTTTTAGCTAACTACTCCTACTTTAAAGTTTCAAGGTATTGTCTTGTCACTGCAGCACATAAGACAAGCACAGAACAGATGGGTTGTTAGATTAACAACAGATATCAAAGAACTGTGAATATTCCCATAAGTGCTTTGTCCCCATCTTCAGCATCAAGCACAAAGTTCCAGTTCCAATGGTACCAGTAGCAATTTGATTACATTGTATTTCCTCTGAGTGTTGAGTATTGCAGAACCCCGTGGTCACTCCTCAAGGTGTCAGTCTCTCCAGATAGCAAAAATCTCTTTGTGCTTCTGCACTGTTTACTTGCTCCCAAAGGACCTTGATGACAAAAGCAAAAGAACAGTTAAACAGTAACCAACGATGCCTGTCATAAGATGTAACTAAGAAAGCTCGACTGAGACTAGGTCAACAGAGATGTTGAACCTGAAACTGTTGAGGCACATGGCTGGTGCAGCCACCATCGAGATTGCAGGTCAGGATGTTTACTTTGGCCTCCAACAGAAAAAACAACTATCACCTTATCAAGAATTTGGACCCAGATCTCCTGTAAGAGATTCAACAGTTCTAGCTGCTCATCCAGCTGCTCCTCTACCTTGGAACTCTAGACAACAAATCTCCCAGACCCCCAAAACTCACCACTGTGGATGCCAATTCTCAGCTTCAGCTGGTCCCCTGGCCGGTGGCGAATCTTGAACTTGAACACAGCATCCAGTAAGGCTAAAGACATTCGTGCAATCTCCCTGGCGTGGAGATTTCCATTTCTGACAGGCAGACCAGAGACGACCATGTAGGCATCACCGATCGTTTCCACCTGAAGCCAGCAAATCAAATCATTCTCAGAATTATACTAAATTGTTGGCACCTTTCTGTCTTTCTAAATCAGTGGTTCTCAACCTGCGGGTCACGATCCTGATAGGAAAACATACATTCACTGAAATTATAAAGTAATAACAAAAATAACTGTATGGTTGGAGGTTACCACAACATGAAGAACTGCATCAAAGGGTTGCGGCTTTAGGAAGGTTGAGAAACCCTGTTATAGATGATATTGTCACAAGGAGGCATGGACATTACAGCAGCTGGCAATGGCTAGTGTGACTAAGAACACTCTTCCACAGTTAGAGTATGGGATTTCACAGCCTTTGCTGCCTTCCTATGTATTAAACATGCTCCATCCCAAATGCTCGGATCTTATCTTGTCTACAGTCATTTTCTCCTTCATCCTGATTCCTTTCCTGATTTCCCCTCCCATGCAACATGTTCCACGACATCCTACTCCCACAAATCACCTCAATACATATATCATTCATGTCCTACTTGCATACATATTTATATAATGGTAGTGGTTGAGCTCAACATCTTCTACCTATCTGCTTTATAATTGAGTCGTCTTACTGGATCTATTCCCAGACTTGCTGAATACTTCCCGAAAATAAACTAACCTCTAATGTACCATTTATCACTGATAGTAACATAGATGTCACAATTCCCGCGGAGATCGCTGTTAGTCGTTAATCTCAAGAAAGCCTTGTCTCACAATTTAACTTTGTGGACCTTTTGCATTCGCCTCTGCCATCATCATTATCATTCAGTGCCTAAATGACTGGCGTAGGCGATCACGTCTCTGAAACCTGGCGCAACCAAACAGCAAAATGAGTTTAGCACACAACAGTGTGTTAAGGAGGCAGTCGTTTTATTCTTTCGTCCCTACAATGTGGCCCCAGAACCCACACGAGGTAGATCTATTAAAATATACATATATTTTTAATCAAAGGAACCAGTTAAAACTCTCTGTGAACAAGCATAAGGGCAAAAGTTAGAAACCAAACATTAATGGTACAATATTACATTATTAAGATGTCTTCTTCTTTAATCTTTCTGTCAGAAAACTTATATCAGTAGGCCAGTAGCCTTTATGAAAGCTGTAGTGCAGTCCATAACTCCTTGTTTACCATACACATTTGTCTTCATAAGAATATATATTCCTTATAAGGAGCAGTATTCACAGCTAGATCAATATAGGAAACCCTTACTTATTGGTCATATCTGGTTTTGTCCTTTTCAGGACAACATTTTTGGTTATTTGAAGCCCCACCCTGGCTTTTGCCAGGGGCCGCAATATAGGCAGGCCATAAAAATGGCCAATTGTCTGAACGCGGTTTCTGGGACCTCTCCACGGCGATCCTCATCCACATGGTGGCACTTTGTGTCATCAGGTGTTTATCGCTTGTGTGATGTCCTGGTGGGGTAGAAAGTCAGTCAGTCAGTCAGTAGTTCACCGCATTGATGAATTGCTAACAACTATCTTCTTGGTCTGCTTCATAGTCTACTCTTAATGAGCTTTTCTGTGTATGCAGGTTTTGTCTCTGTCATCTAAAATTCTCTCCATTTGCCCAAACCATTGCTGTTTATTAGCCACCATGATACCAGTTAGTAGTAGTGGTTTCAATTGATTTTGAATTGCGTTCCTGTTTCTCACTCACCATTGTCTGCTATAATTATATCTGACAGATCCAAAGATTTGTCGTAAGACTCTCTCAAAAGTTACAATGAGGCTTCATTATTTTTCATTGTACTCGAGGTTTCAGAGCCATATAGGACAATTAATCTTACTAGTGTTTTATGAACTTTACTCTTGAACTATCTTTCCTACTTTGTTTTTAATTTCTCTTCCTTCTTCGCTTTTTTCCCCTTATTTTTTTCTTCTTCAGCACTCTGAGCAATGGAAGTTTACTGTTGCAGATATCACCTGCCTCCATATACCTCTCTGGTCTTCTTTCTCAGTATGTGGCTCCAAGTGTTTCTACTTGTATGTCTGCCTGAATATTATTTTGTGTGTGTGTGTTAGAATGTAGGTCTATATACAAAGTCTATTATACAGCCCTATAATTGTACTGAAAACCTCACTGCAGTCACAAATGCTGCGATCAAACCCCAAACCCACCTGTCAACTAAAATCATGTTAAATCATTTGTAATGTGGACAGAGGCTTACCTTGTAAACATCAAAGTGTTCAACAATGGAATCAAAGCAGGTGTACAGATCATTCAACAAATCTACAACCTGAAATGTAAATAATTTTGTTTTATTGAACCACTGGCAGCAGTTTTGCAGACAAAATATGGAAGTAAAGAAGCTGCTACTATGCCGTTAGTCATATAGTTAAAAGTTTGGATGACTCATTTGGTAATGTGGCCACATCACGTTGGTCACCTTTACTTCCCAAAACATTTTCTGGCATCATTTTGTAGATCAGCCCAGACATGAAAACAAAAACAAAACTCTCCCATGATAAACCATTCTGGCAAGCAGATGTCCTAAACACTGTTGCCAGTTTTCTTCAGGACAACAGAACCATTCCTAGAATAAATTATATTGACAGTGAAAAGTCACAGCTCTCTAAAAATGTAAAGCATAATGTAATAACCATCAGTAAAATGGATGTTCACCCAAAACCCAGGTCCAAGTACAAAGTCAAAGTCCAAATGGATAAACAACCAGGACTTTTCACTGGAGCCTATAGCTAGTAAACAAAAAAGAAGAAGATAAAGATGAGGACAGTGAAAAGGCATTAGATAAGCAAGAGGACTGGAACTAACACACTGCAGCAGATAAGATTCTGGAAAGACTGGAAAAAAAAGTATTACTTAAATAAAAAAAGAGACAATTGGAATACACTGGTCCTGTTTAAAGATATAAGTTAATTGCATATCCTTTACAGGACGTTGCAGAGCCAACCCTAACAGCCCCTGGCTGTTGTGTGGTTTTTCTAGGCAAATTTACGTCCAGTAGTTTGCCATTGCTTCTGGACGGTCGGCTTTCTTGATACCACTGTCGAAACCAACGCAAGGCGCATGGCCCGCAGCTGGGATCGAACCCGGCATCCCGGCATTACAAAGCGTTCGCATCGACTTAGCCCCAGAGCCGACATTTAAAGATATAACACTCTTTTAAAAAACCATACTGGAAGAAAAGGGCGAGGGCAGGATAGCAAAAGGTAAGCAATGATACAAGTAGGAGGACAACATCAAGGATAGACGAACAGCTGTGTGATAGAGTATATAACTAAAAATAAGAGAGAGTATGTTGGAGATCCATTGCAGCCAACTTAACCGTGGAGATGGCACCTGATTGATTGACCAGAATTCATAGGAATAGATCTTGACTAGAAAATTAAACGAGGTCATCATCATGTAGCAGGTCCTTAGCAGAATGTCGCTCTCATCGCAGTCTGCCTGAAAGAAACTCGGTCTCTCGCCAGTTCTCCCGCTTCATGTACTTTCATACTCAAGGAGTCACTTATATCCTGTGCCCATCGTCGTGTCGGTCGGCCCCTGCCCCTCCTTCCTGGTACCATACCTCAGCTATAATTGTTTCCAATCCGTCGTGTCGCTTGATATGACCAAAATATTTCAGCTTTCGAGAAAGGATGCTGTTTATTAGCCAATCTTCCTTGATGTTCAGATCTTTTTAGATTTCAGTATTTCTCCTCTTCTCTGTCCAAGATATTCTGGGAATCTTTTCTATAGCATTTCAGTTCAAAGCCCCTATTCTTTTTCTTAAAGACAGAGATAGTCCACGACTCACATCCGTATGTAGGAACAGGGAAGATGCATGCTCTCAAAATTATATTTTTGATCTCCTTGCTAGTGCTTAACCATAGACTTTTAAGGCTGTTCAATCTTTGCATTGCTATGGCCATCCTCCTTTTAATTTCTGTCAAACAGTCTTCATTGCTGTTTATTATAGAACCTTGATATTCAAAGTTTGTGAAATTTTCAATTTCTTCATCATTTATTGTTATTTTTGGGCGACAGCCAGTTTTATCTGTGGACATTATTTCCGTTTTCTTTAAATTCAAGAACAGATTTTGATCTTCACTGTGCTTTTGGACAGACAATATTACATCTTCTATTTACTTTAAGCTGTTAGAAAGGCGGATTGTGTCATCTGCGTAGCGAAGTTCCAGAATAGAGTTGCCACCAATTTTGAGCGGATCATAACTGTCACAAGTCTGGTCATTTCTGACGTTTCTCATTATATTTTCTGTATATATATTAAATAGGTATGGTGAGAGAAGCACCCCTGCCTCACCCCCTTTTGCACCTCGAACCAATCAGATGTTTCACCAGCTGCTCTGATTGCTGCTTGTTGTAAACAATAAGGTACTGGACAAAATGACTGACTGACTTTCTACCCCACCAGGACATCACACAAGCGATAAACACCTGATGACACAAAGTGCCACCATGTGGGTGAGGATCACCGTGGAGAGGTCCCAGAAACCGCGTTCAGACAATTGGCCACATTTATGGCCTGCCTATATTGCGGCACCCGGCAAAAGCCAGAGTGGGGCTTCAAATAACAAAAAATTACGTCCTAAAAAGGACGTAAGTATGTATGTGTATAAACTGGACAAAATTAAAACTTCACTAAATATAAGTCAGCACAATGGAAGAAAGTTAGCAGTTACAGAAAGGGGTAGCAATTCATTCCAAAATTAAGGTATTTTGAAATGGACCTCAGATTAAATCTAGGTTAAAAAATAGAAATTTGTCTTCTGCGTTTGCTTAAAAAAGAGTGATTGGAATATTGTTTTGTGGTTTACAGCTAGGCTGCAATAGCTGCACCTTTCAGTCCAACACATCAGGCTTCAGCAGATTCTTAGTTCCCTTTTACAACATGTTTGTACAGAGCAGTGACTAAGGCTACCACCCCCGATAAAATATGGTCTTGAAACCAATGTCAGGGAGGAAATAGAAATGACAGATTCAGACTTCATATAGAAAATGGAAATAAAAAAAAAATTAGAATTAATGTGCCGATCTTTACAGAAAAGGAGTTCCCGTTGCGAAGCGGCTAGACGATCGCCGCGGATCGGAAGGTCGTGGGTTCGCTCCCTGGCAGAGCCCGACTTTTTTCAAAAATGACCTTGGCTTCCAGGCCGACCCAGTCTTGAGTGGGTACCGGGAGCAGTCCCAGGAAGTAAAGGCGGCGTCGTGATGCTGACCACATCATCCATCTTGTGCCGATTAGTCTATAAAATATAGGTCTAGCCCTATATGCCCTATACGCCTAAAGGCGTGGAAAAAGAGTCCTTTACTTTTACTTTTTTTTTTCTTTGCAGAAAGAACGTTGCTGTCACCCCAGCCTGCCTGAAAGAAATCCACTCTCATTAGATCTCCTGCCCCAAGTACTTTCCTACTCAAGGTGCCTATCTTTTTGCGGGGTCACCACACAGGCCAACTTTCCTGGCACCATGCCTTTCTGCCATTATATTTTCTCCAATCTACCGTGGTGCTTGATGTGACCAAAATATTTAAGTTTCCAAGACAAGATGCCGTTTATTAGGTTAATCTTTCTGGATGTTCAGATTTTTAAGGATTTCAGCATTCAGAATTTATCAATAGATTACCCCCCCCCCCCCCCACCCCCCCCCCCCCCCCCCCCCCCCAAAAAAAAAAAAAAAAATTAAGCATTTATAGTGAAATCTACAAAAAGTTGAATAGGGTATTTCTCATGTAACAAAGTTACCTGCATTGGAGTGCTTTCAGCAGACAAAGACGTGAATCCGCAAATATCGCTGAAATAAATAGTCACATGGTCATACCATTCTGCAGACACGGTTTCTCCTCGAATCAGTTGAGATGCCACATACCTGAACAAAAACAACAACAAAATTTTATGAAGATACGACTTTAAAAATTAATAATTTGTATAAAGTGTAAGAAGGGACAAGGGCGCCAGCACCTGAAGGGTCTGCAACCTTGAGCACCTTAACAATATTAAGGTTAGGAAGCCAACTCCCCCCAATTTACTCAGCAATGTATGGTTAGTTGCGTATCCTTTGCAGGAAATTGCAGAACCAACCCCACCAGCACCTGGCTTTTGTGTGGTTTCTCTAGGCAAATTTACGTCCAGTAGTTTGCTTTTGCTTACTGGACGGTCGGCTCCTTGATACCACTGTCGAAACAAACGCAAGGCGCATGGCCTGCAGCTGGGATCGAACCCGGCACCCCGGCATTACGAAGCGTTCGTATCGACTTAGCCACAAAGCCGACCAGCAATGTATAGAAATTATATTTCAGGAATTTGTTTTCAGACTATTTCGAATGTTTTTTGCTACTTAGCGTTCTCCCCACCTGGGAGCGCACCCTCCAAAGCTAATTAGCCGAACTTTCAGGAAATTTTTCTCTTCTGTAAAACAAAAGAAGAAAGAATGGGCGCCCAAAAACACCATGGAGATGAACGATGGAGAGTGACCTGAATGCAGCATCTCTGACATGGAAAACTGCCCTGAAGATTGCACAGGACAGGAAAGCATGGAGTCTCCTCTGTGAAGCCTCATGTGCCACTAGGCATTAAGAGAATTGATGACTGATGAAAACACAAGCTGCCAGTACTCACTACTTAGTGCCTAAAAGGCGCCCATATCCATCATCAAGTGGCTTTCACAGTCGCGTTAAAAACATATGCCGGCACTGCTTACCATTAGCCGCGCCCTTAGTTTAGGTATTGGGAGTCCAACTCGTAATTCCAACAAACCGCGATCGAAACCCACTGCTGGCTGTGTGAATTTTTATCACATTATGGGGCGTCGCAGGTCGACCCAGCCTAAAATGGGTTATCAGGATATATGCCCTGGGGAAGTAAGGACGGCTGGCGAAATGCTGACCACATAACCCAGCTAGTGCGGATTGGTCTGTACAAATATGGGCGCTCTTCCCACATGCTGGATGTCCCCAGAGGCGTCAAAAGAGATCTTTACTTTAAAAAAAAAAAAACTTTACTGCTCACCATTGCGTACCATTAGGAAAAAGCGCAGGTAATATCTAACAGAGGGAACAATCGTAAGGTCCTTACCCACACAAGGCTGCAGGTGACACCTGGGTGGGTGGTGTACTTACCCACACAGGACTGAGGGTGACACCTGGGTGGGTGGTGTACTTACCCACACAGGACTGCAGGTGACCCTGGGGTACTTACCCACACACCTGTTACATCTGGTTGGGTGATGTACTTACCCACACAAGACACAGTGACACCTGGGCAGGTGTACTTATCCACACAAGACACAGGTGTGGGTGGTGTACTTACCCACACAAGACTGCAGGTGACACCTGGGTGGGTGATGTACTTACCCACACAAGACTGCAGGTGACACCTGGGTGGGTGATGTACTTACCCACACAAGACTGCAGGTGACACCTGGGTGGGTGATGTACTTACCCACACAAGACTACAGGTGACACCTGGGTGGATGATGTACTTACCCACAACAAGACTTGACACCTGGGTGGGTGATGTACTTACCCACACAAGACTGAGGGTGACACCTGGGTGGGTGATGTACTTACCCACACAAGACTGCAGGTGACACCTGGGTGGGTGATGTACTTACCCACACAAGACTGAGGGTGACACCTGGGTGGGTGATGTACTTACCCACACAAGACTGCAGGTGACACCTGGGTGGGTGATGTACTTACCCACACAAGACTGAGGGTGACACCTGGGTGGGTGATGTACTTACCCACACAAGACTGCAGGTGACACCTGGGTCGGTGATGTACTTACCCACACAAGACTGAGGGTGACACCTGGGTGGGTGATGTACTTACCCTCACAGAACTACAGGTGACACCTGGGTCGGTGATGTACTTACCCACACAAGACTGAGGGTGACACCTGGGTCGGTGATGTACTTACCCACACAAGACTGAGGGTGACACCTGGGTCGGTGATGTACTTACCCACACAAGACTGCAGGTGACACCTGGGTGGGTGATGTACTTACCCACACAAGACTGCAGGTGACACCTGGGTCGGTGATGTACTTACCCACACAAGACTGAGGGTGACACCTGGGTGGGTGATGTACTTACCCACACAAGACTGCAGGTGACACCTGGGTGGGTGATGTACTTACCCACACAAGACTGAGGGTGACACCTGGGTGGGTGATGTACGTACCCTCACAGAACTACAGGTGACATCTGGGTGGGTGATGTACTTACCCTCACAGAACTACAGGTGACACCTGGGTGGGTGATGTACTTACCCTCACAGAACTACAGGTGACACCTGGGTGGGTGATGTACTCACCCTCACAGAACTACAGGTGACACCTGGGTGGGTGATGTACTTACCCTCACAGAACTACAGGTGACACCTGGGTGGGTGATGTACTTACCCACACAAGACTGAGGGTGACACCTGGGTGGGTGATGTACTTACCCACACAAGACTACAGGTGACACCTGGGTGGGTAATGTACTTACCCACACAAGACTACAGGTGACATCTGGGTGGGTGATGTACTTACCCACACAGAACTACAGGTGACATCTGGGTGGGTGATGTACTTAACCTCACAGAACTACAGGTGACATCTGGGTGGGTGATGTACTTACCCACACAGGACTACAGGTGAAATCTGGGCGGGTGATGTACTTACCCACACAGAACTACAAGTGAAATCTGGGTGGGTGATGTACTTACCCACACAGGACTACAGGTGACATCTGGGTGGGTGATGTACTTACCCTCACAGAACTACAGGTGACATCTGGGTGGGTGATGTACTTACCCACACAGAACTACAGGTGAAATCTGGGCGGGTGATGTACTTACCCACACAGAACTACAGGTGAAATCTGGGTGGTGATGTACTTACCCATACAGGACTACAGGTGACATCTGGGTGGGTGATGTACTTACCCACACAGGACTACAGGTGACAAATGAGTGGGTGATGTACTTACCCACACAGGACTACAGGTGACATCTGGGAGGGTAATGTACTTACCCACACAGGACTATAGGTCACACCAGGCTGGTGAAGCCATTACCGGTGTCCTAATTATAACTTCTTACAGGTTGTACAGGGTATCTGGGATCTGCCTTGTTGGTCTTGCTGTCCAAATTGAGATCTGTTAATCTCGGAATGATATTGTAAACCTGTAGGTAACAGCCCTGAGGATTGGGGGGGGGGGGGGGGGTCTTAACTTGATCTGGTGACAGAGACAAAGGGAAGTGTAGTCTACCTGTATCAAAACGAGCTAAATCAATCAGCGTTCAGTAACTGTGATGTGCAGATGATCACAGACCAATACAGATAAGAAATGTCTGACGATTAGGAGATGATACATTAGCCAATTTAACCCTAAATAAAATGGGGTGGGTGGGAGGGTGGGGGTGTGGGTGATATAGCTGTCCTGGGTAGGGAAAAGAAAGGGGATGTTGTTTTTTTTCTCTCTTATTCTGTGTTCAGAAGGAAACTACAATCTAGACAAAGACAAGCCCTACCTTGGAAGCATGTTGTATAACAACTCCTCTGCCTTCTTCTTCTCCTGCAGATAGTCAGAAGTCCTTTCCTCCACCAGAGCCTCCAGGTTGTTGGCATACTGCTCCATTCTGGACAGAAGATTGTCCAATATGTCCCCCTTGTCGCCATCTCTGTAAATGACAATGTTTTCTCACATAAGAAAAATTTGGAGGTAACTGAGATGTGGTTCTTGAGAAGAATGTTGCAAATACCTTGGACTGCCAGAATAACAGACAACAATTGCCAGGAACTTGGAGCACAACTAAATGAGATGAAACCTTATTACATGTTCTAAAAAACAGAGTCTTACGACGAATCTTTGGACCTATCAAAGATGCAAACAGTGGGGAATGAAAAGTGAGAAGCAACAACGAAATTCATAATCTGTTTTAAGCACCATTGATCACTAGCATGATGAGAGCTAATAGGCTGAAATTGCTGGGGCATTTTGAAAGAATGTCAGACGACAGAGAAGTGAAAACTGTATACACAAGGGAGATGAATGGTCGTAGACCACGAGGCAGACCAAGAAGACAATGGAGAGATAATGTCCACACAGACCTGCAAACACTTGGTGTCACCAACTGAAAAGAGAAGACCAACCAGAGAGATTAATGGAGGCGGGTGATATCTGCAGCAATGAACCTCAAGGGGCCGAAATGCTGAAGGAGAACAAGATTGCCAGGAAATGGCAAAAAAAAAAAAAGAACATTATATACAATGAGAAGGAAACAAACAAAGTTCTTTGGTCATGTGATGAGAAAAGAAGCACTAGAAAATATCATTTTGACTGGATAGACCGCTAGTAGAAGAGGCAGAGGCAGACCAAGAGAAATGATGGTTGAAGGCCTGAGACAGTGGCATGGAGGAATATCATCAGTTAAATTGATCCAGAGCACCAAAGACCGACATCTGTGAAGATGCATGAACGCCTACGCCAGCTAGCAAGGCATTTGATGATGTTGATGATGATGATCTCACAATGTGAAGTAACTTTACATTAGAGGGGAAGAACAGGAAAAAAATAAAATAAAAAGAACAAGAATATAAAATAAATTTAAAGACCACTGTCACATCAAGCATATGAGGTTTTTTCTTATAGTCCCTGCCAGGTGACGTTGGTAGTCATGTCTATCCACAACTTTCTGTCACGTATCATTTCAATCAATTCTGGGTGGATGTGTAGACTTTCGTGGTCAAGTGTCAAAAGCCATGAACCCAGGTTTCATAATTCGCAAAAAAGTTCAAAACATTCAAAACAAGAAGGACACTAGGAAATCAGAATCAGAATGGACCTTCCAGAATGTTAAGAAAATAAAGACTTAAAACTTTAGAGACTGAAGAGAAAAACGGGGGTGGGGAAGGGACTGCGTTTGAGGATCTGAAGCATTCTTTTATGCTCTTTCCTCTTGGTGTTTCTACAATATTAACTTACTTGTTGAGTTTCTTGATCATTGTGCGCAGTTGTTGGAAATCAGGTCTCTCAGTGGGGTCCTCAGCCCAGCACCGCCGGATGACTCCTGCCAGTTCATCGTTTGGACAATCAAACTCTTCTCAAAGTGGGTCTGAAGTATGGTTTCATGCCTTTCTTTAACTTCTCTAAGATTTCTGAAAAAAAAAAAAAAAAAATTAATATAGGTAATACCAATGAAATGCACTGTTCAACAAAACTAGTTGACAGATTGTTGTTAGTACATACTGAACAGCTGGGTTCATAAAATGCATAGAAGCTAAGATAGTGTAGTAGCTACATGGTCACCTGCTGGTCCAAAGAACTTCGATGTGTGGGCATCCAGCTGAATTCCCCTCCCCCACAGCCGCCCTTTGCTCCAAAAGGATAACCCGGCTGGGATAATGCTGACTACATAACTCATCGATTAACTTTTTGAGTCCCAGGGAACGCATCATACGTTCATAGGTTCTTACCTAGAAGCCCAATGAACGCATGATGTGTCGATTTTTTTTCCCTCTTTACTACCCATTGGGCCTGTGATGCTAAACCCCCCTGGGACTCAAAGATGTAACCTTCCACAAAAACAAAAATATGAGCACAGCAATATATGCTTGATGTGCCAAATGTTGAATTAGGAATCAACATCAAAACACTAGGGACACCTCCATTAGCGCGCTGTCCCCATTTGCAGCAGCAAACAAAAAAATCCAGTCCCGATGGCAGCAGTAACTGTCTGATTGTATATCTGTCTTGCCCTTCCCTTGAGTGTTGAGCGTTGGCCAGATCCCTTGGTAACTCCTCGCAGCGCCATTCTCCTCAGACCATAATTATCTATTTGTGCTTCCGCACTGTTCACTCGCTCCCAGAGGGCCCGATGTGCCACGCATGCGGAAAGGGGTCCATTTAAGGCTAGGTCGACCTGAAAGCTAAGATCACGTAAAAACAAAGAAGTAAGGCTACGTCATATTTTGAACGCATGACCTTCGGAACCGCAGGCGAGGTCTAGCCGCTACACGATATCAGCTCCCAATATAATTCTGGATCACGAGTGGCTAAACAGAGACTGTCGTTTGTAGCAGAGGTCAGACTGTAGATAAGACGACTGTACGAGAGAAAGGGAAGAGGAAAAAGTAGCAGAGAAAGATATGGGCGAAAAAAAAAGAAAAAAAAAGAAGAATGAAGAAGATAGAAGAAGAAAGAAGAAGATAGAGGAAGAAAGAAATAAGAAGAAAGACAAAGCAGAAGAAAGACAAAGAAGAAGAAGAAGAAGAAGAAGAAGAAGAAGAAGAAGAAGAAGAAGAAGAAGAAGAAGAAGAAGAAGAAGAAGAAGAAGAAGAAGAAGAGGAGGAGGAGGAGGAGGAGGGGAAGAAGAAGAAAAAGAAAAACGAACAAACGAACACAGCACCTTAATTTTATTTTTAAAAGGGACACAAATTACGTACACACACACGTACATACATATATACACACATATGCACATTCATACACACGTATTAACACACATTTACATGCATACATACACACAAACACACACACCCACACCTAGACATACACACAGATACACACATACACACAGATACACACTGAGACACACACACACGCAGATACAGACACGCACACAGACACATGGGCATGCACAGACACAGACACACAAAAACAGACACACACACACGCAGATACAGACGCGCACACAGACACCCTCAGACACCCACACAGACACAAGGGCATGCACAGAAAGACACACACGCACACCTAAACATACACACACAGAGAAACACACATAGAGAAACACAGACAAACAGACACACACGCAGACATACACACATAGATATACACAAATATACACATGCACACAGATACACACACAAACTTACACAGCCACACACACACACACATACACATACACACACAAAATACACAGAAACATAGAGAAGAACAAAGTAACAGAACAGAAGAAAGAGAAAAGAAGAAGAAGAAGAAGAAGAAGAAGAAGAAGAAGAAGAAGAAGAAGAAGAAGAAGAAGAAGAAGAAGAAGAAGAAGAAGAAGAAGAAGAAGAAGAAGAAGAAGAAGAAGAACAAGAAGAACAAGAAGAACAAGAAAAAGAAGAAGAAGTAAAGAAGAAGAAGAAGAAGAAGAAAAATATGAGCAGGTGGTGTTTTTGGACACAGACTGCCCGAATAAGTATTGAATTAATCAAGAATGCAACAAAGCCAGTCAACTTGACAACTGAGCATATGTTACCAACATTAGAGACGAAACCTTTTAAAGAATTTACACAGTTGAACACAATTTTCTTTCTGATTCCATGCCAACACCGTTAGATCTTAACATTAACATCAACGGAAAGGGAAATATTATTACATTAAAGATGCAATTTCCCCCAAAAAGAATGCATAATGTAACAAAGTTAAAAAAAAAGACAAAATAATACCCCCCCCCCCCCCCCCCCCCCCCCCAAAAAAAAAAAAAAGATATAAACTACGGTTAGATTTCATCAAAAATCTTCAAGAAAAATTATATGGCCATGCATTACGAATACTGCCAGACAGTTTTCTACAGAAAGTAATATCGCTCTGATGCAAGGAGTTGGGAGGATGAAAAGTTGTTATAAAAAATTGACATATGGGAGCGAGAAAGATAATATTCACATTAAAAATCTAAACACGGCATCGACAAGGCATTACAATTTTCCCAGAATTATTCTGTTCTGATTTCTCCATTTCTTTCTTTCCTTCTAAAGTCTATGCCGTATGGCGTTTGTTGTCATGTATGTTAATTCCCTCCTGTCTTGTGTGCTTGCAGTAATTAAATAAAAATAAAACTCTTTTGCATGTCACAAATCAGCTTTAGGTCTCCCGTTGTCAAAGTTTACAGTTTATTTCTTCTAATATGTCCCAAACAATGTCGATTTCTGCCATCTACTATTTTATTATTTTGTAACAAAACATCTCATGTCTTCTGCTATAATTTTTTCCAATCCGTCGTGGCGCTTGATACGACCAAAGTATTTCAGCTTTCGAGAAAGGATGCTGTTTATTAATTAGCCAATCTTCCTTGATGTTCAGATCTTTTAAGATGTCAATATTTCTCTTCTTCTTTGTCCAAGATATTCTGAGAATCTTTCTATAGCATTTCAGCTCAAAAGCTCCAATTCTCTTTCTTAAGGAATGAGAGATAGTCCACGACTCACATCCGTATGTAGCCACAGGAAAGATGCATGCTCTCAAAATTCTAATTTTGATCTCTTTGCTGGTGCTTAACCATAGACTTTTAAGGCTGTTCAATCAATGTGTGCATTGCTATGGCCATCCTCCTTTTAATTTCTGTTGAACAGTCTCCATTGCTTTTTATTATAGAGCCTAGATTTTCAAAGTTTGCGACATTTTCAATTTCTTCATTGTTTATTGTTATTTTTGGGTGACATCCAATTTTTTTATGTGGACATTATTTTCGTTTTTTTTAAATTCAAGAACAGATTTTGATCTTCACTACCAGGGCCAGATCTGTACACTATCTAAAGCACATATAAGCAAAATCACAACCTGCGAGATGAGGTGCCTGAGAAAAGCAGCCAATCTAACCATTCGAGATCGCGTTAATAATGAAACTATCAGGCAAACTGTGGGAACGACACCTTGTACTAGATTCATCGAGAAACAGCAGATCAAGTGGTTTGGCCATCTCGTTAGAATGCAGCAAGATCAAATACTATCACAAGCACTACATCTCAGAAGATCAGCGACAAGAGCAAGAGGACAGAGGCGGAAAAATGGATCGACAACATTAAAGAAGTCTACGCCTTCACAGCATGATAATAGCCAGTGGCAGACAACGTGCATTGGATCGCAAATTATTCCTCCCCACCTCGCTTAACGGCAGAAGTGGTTTATGACGATAATGATGAAAAACAGATACATGCCCAAACAATCACATGTGTCAACTGTTATTGCAGAAAGAAGATGGCAATAATTGAGACATATCATGAGGAGAAACAGACAGCAAATCTCTAAAAAGGCAATAAAAAGGTTAGCTAGTAGATTGAGGAAATGATGATGTAAAGAAAAACACACACACAACATTAACAGAAACAAACGTTGCTGCGAGAGGCTAAAGATGCTGGACTGCATTCCATACATGATATGGAAATCTTTGCACAGGATAAAATGGAATTAGACTGCACGGCCAGTGTGATACAAGTAAGTAAGTAAATGTTACCTCACCAGGACAACACACAGAGCCATAAACACCCGGTCACACAAAGTACCACAATGCGGATGAGGGTACTAGTGGAGAGGTCCCAGAAACCCCGTTTAACCATTAGGTTATATTCGGGCCCCCGGCAACAGTCAGGGTTGGGCTTCAAAATAACGAAAACTTGCGTCCCACAAGAGAACGACTTAAAAGACAACCCAGTGCTGCGTATCATGATGATGATGATGACAGCGAGTCTGTATTCAGGGAGTGATTTGAAGCACACATATGGGCAGAGAGAGAATGCGATACTAGTTCTTCTTCGATCTTTCTGTCAGAAAACTTATATCAGGAGGCCGGTAGCCTTTATGAAAGCTATCGTGCAATCCATATCCTCTCGTGTACCATACAGTTTTGTCTTCAGTGTGGTTGAAGCATACAGTTGACAGTGTTGGAGCACATGCTCAGCATTTTCGGGTGCCACGCTGCAGGGACACGTCTACGTATTTCCTACACTAGTGATTTCGATCATATTTGAGGAAGACTGACTGGTAAACAGCATTTTGCATCCGGTATAATATAAGAACTCCACAGCTGGAGCATGCAAAGCGGAGTCTACCGATCATCAGTAGGTATGTTCTCTTTCAACAATTGTTGTTATTCATCCTAGAAAATCTCGAGGTCTGGGCCGACCTGGGTCATGACCCCAGGCCTCAGACTTGTCCTGATGCGTGTATCCTACATTCGGACCAGACGCAATGGTGGTTTTGCAACAGGTGCTGGGGTTATGTTCAAATGTGTACAGAGATTGGGGAAAACAACAGGAAAGACTCACATTCCATGTACCAAAAGTTAAATATGTTAACAGGAAAGATGACAAGTAACAGCACTGGATGTTTGAAATCAAAAGATGGTGACTTATTAACGGGACATAGTAATATAATTAACAGATGGACAGAGTATATAGGGGAATTGTATGATGATAATAGACCAGATGTAGAACTGCGGACCAACAATGATGGTCCACCAATAATAACTGCAGAAGTTGAAGATGCAATACATCATATGAAGAAAGGAAAAACACCCGGGCCAGACAACATCTCACTGGAAGAAATCGAAGCACTGTGAGATTTTGGAATTGAAATAACTAAACTTTTAAATGATATTTATAATAGTGGGTATATTCCAAATGACCTTTTAAAATCCATATTTATAGCTCTGCCTAAGAAACCAGGCACTATAAAATGTGAAGACCATCGCACAATAAGTCTTATGAGTCCCATGACTAAGATTTTACTGAGAATAAATATGAGAAGAATAAGAAACAAAATGAAACCAGAAATCAGCGATGAAAAATGTGGATTTGTAGAAGGAAAAGGTACAAACAGTGCCATATACATCATAAGGACATTGTCAGAAAGAGCTATAGAAGTAAAGACTGATTTGTACATATGCTTCATAGACTATACAAAAGCATTGAAGAAGTAATCAAACTGTTAGAAAAATTAAACATTGATGGGAAAGATCTACGAATAATAAAGAATATATATTGGCAGCAAACATCAGCTATAAGAATTAACAACTGTTTAGGGACATTTCAAAGCATAAAGAGGGGTGTACGACAAGGATGTGTACTGTCAACTGATTTGTTTTCAATATACAGTGAATATATAATGAGAGCTCTAATTGGTATGCCCGGAATTGTGGTTGGTGGGCACAATATAAACAATTTACGTTATGCTGATGACACAGTCTTGATAGCAACAAGTCAGAAAGAATTACAGGAAATGATAGACATTGTGGGGTTAGAAAGTGGAAGAATGGGCCTCAGTTTGAATAATGGGAAGACAAAAGTAATGGTGGTATCAAAGAAACGAATTATTCCTAAATGTGTAATAAAAGTTGATGGTGTTATTTTAGGACAAGTACAGAAATTTAAGTATCTGGGCACATGGATAACATCAGATGGAAGATGCATAACTGAGATAAGAAATAGAATAGGACAGGCAAAAACTGCATTTTATAAAATGAAAAACATCTTGTGCAATATATCCTTGTCGTTGAGATTTAGAAAAAGAATTCTTGCTTGCTACATACATCCAGTTTTAACATATGGCTGTGAATCCTGGACAATAGGTAGGCAGGCCAAACAATTCCTGGAGGCCTCGGAGATGTGGTTTTACAGAAGAATGCTTAGAATACCTTGGACAGCCAAAAAGAGCAACTAAGAGGTTTTGAAAGAGGCGGGAGCCCGAAGACAACTTATCACAGACATCAGAAGGAGACAGTCATCATTTTTCGGCCATGTTATGAGAAGAGGGAAAATAGATCATGTTGTGACCCCTGGAAAGATATGTGGAAGGAAAGATAGAGGAAGACAACGAGAGAAGATGCTTGACAGTCTTGTTGCATGGCATGGAGGTGTGTCGGCACACGAACTGATACATGCTGCAGGAGATCGCAGATTATGGAGAGGCTAGATCGCCCACGCCAGTCGGCAAGGCACCTGATGATGATGATGATGATATATATCTGCAGTATCAAATTATGAGCCTGTCTGTCCGATCGCGACTTCCGTAGCTAAGGCGTTGCGAGTCAGACTCGTAATTCAAATGTATCGCGATCGAAACCCACTGCTGGCTGTGCGGATTTGTATCAAAGTATGGAGCGTCGCAGGTCGACCTAGCCTAAAATGGATACCAGGATGTATGTCCTAGGGAAGTAAAGATGGCCGGGGTAAGGCTGACCATATTACCCACCTAGTGCCGATTGGTCTGTAAAAATATGGGTGTTCTCATATGCCCGATGCGCCTACTGGCCTGAAAAGGGATCTTTACTTCTTATTTTTACTTCACCTGCACCACCAGAGTGACAAATGGATGGTGGGTTCATCAAAAATATATACGCCTGTATTTTGACAAAATCAAGTGCTACAGAGGATTGGAAAAAAGTAGTAGCAGAAGGTACGGTGCCAGGAAAGAGGGGCAGAGGCCAACTAGCACAAAGATTGGCAAAAGAGTGTAAAGGACACCTTAGGTAGGGAAGTTCAAGAGGTGGGAGATATGGAAGAGACTAAGTAAGACCGCTGATGCATAATGTGTTTTTAAAAAAAGCTTTTTTTTACCATGTTTTTTCTCGAAAATAACGCCTACCATAAATAATAGATTCTAGCATTTTCTTTTTCTAGGGTGCTTTAATTTAAGCTCTACCACAAAATATAATCCATAGTTAAGGTCTTCAGTTAGAACGGGCAGTTAGAAGTCATGACTTGGGTGAAGAATCCGTGGGCGCTGCAAGTCTCTTGAGAATAGCTTTATTTAAACTCTGGGGACTTTAACACCCTCCGGACTGAATTGCCAACACAGTTTCATTTAAACTCCAAGGGGATTGAAATGCCCTCACAGTTTTATCTCTAACCCCCTAGTTATGGCCCCTTGTACTCCATCGACCTGGCTGCTTCGAGATACCAGCTTAGTGATTTTGTGTAGCTGTGTAGTATTGTTTGTTTTGTATGTGCTGATAAAGACTCCAAAGCCGCAACGTTCCCGTTTTGTTTGTATTTGTTATATTGTGAAGCTTGCTAATATACTTTTTGTTTCTTTTTTTATATCTTTTCGTGGGATAAAAGCCACTGACAGCTGTGTTACCAATGCACTAAAAACAGGCTTCATTTAAGAAAAGCTTTGTTTCTAGACTGGATAATTGGGGCCATTGTTACTTCAGGATATAGAGTCGTAAAACATCCAGTCTGCTATTTCAGATTAAGAGAGTTATTAGGATGTAACTGAAGAAGATGACATGACTATATTTGAAAAAAATGTAGAACTGTGTATTAATGTAGATTTTTGAATCTGAAAAAAAAAAAGACACTCTGAAAATAAGCCTAGTTGCATTTTTCTTGAGCAAAATTAATATACGGCCTAGTATTTTTTTTTTCAAAAAAAAAAAAAAAAAACATGGTATCTTACCTTTTGGTGAAACATCTAAATTCTGGAGGTAAAACACACCATATCTGTAAACAATCTCCTGGCATATGATGGCGAAGCTGTACACATCACCTTTCTGGGTTCCTCCTGGCACCGGGCTGCTCATCTTAGCAGTTCTGGGGCGGTCCAAAGTTTACCTGTGGGTCGAGTCATATGTTGTATAGTTTACCCAGGGGTGGAGTCAATGTATAGTTAACACAGGGGTGGAGTCAATGTTGTATAGTTTACACAGGGGTGGAGTCAATGTTGTATAGTTTACACAGGGGTGGAGTCAATGTTGTATAGTTTACACAGGGGTGGAGTCAATGTTGCATACTTTATCTAGAGTACTTAATCCATAGGTGGAGTCAATGTTGCATACTTTATCTAGAGTACTTTATCCATGGGTGGAGTCAATGTTGTATAGTTTACACAGGGGTAGAGTCAATGTTGTATAGTTTACACAGGGGTGGAGTCAATGTTGCATACTTTATCTAGAGTACTTTATCCATGGGTGGAGTCAAATGTTGCATACTTTATCTAGAGTACTTTATCCATGGGTGGAGTCAATGTTGCATACTTTATCTAGAGTATTTTATTCATAGGCGGAGTCAATGTTGCATACTTTATCTAGAGTACTTTATCCATAACTGGAGTCAATGTTGTATAGTTTATCTAGGGGTGGAGTCAATGTTGCATAGTGTATCTAATGGTTGAGTCAATGTTGTATATTTTTTTTTCTACATCGAGAGTCAATGTTGCCTAATTTAGCTAGGGTTGGAGTAAGTAGTGTATAGTCTATCTAAGGGTGGGTTCTAAAAAAACTGGCAATGACTGCCTTTATTTCCACTTTTGCGGTGTAGGCAGGGAGGTCTTTGAGCCTAAGGATTTAGGGCCGCATGACAAGTACTGTCATCACGACTGTGTAGGTGAGAATTTTATTTTGCCCCCCCGCACAGAAAAAATCCCCTGCCTTACTGAGGATTCGAACCCAGGTCTACCATTTGATAGCTCAGCGTTCCAACCATTGAGCGAGCCATTCCTCAAGGGTGGATTCGATGTTGTATAATTTATCTAGTAGTTATGTCAATGTTGTATAATTTAAATAGGGGTGGAGTCAATATTGTGTAGTTTATATAGGGGTGGAGTCAATGTTGTATAGGTTTTCTCAGGGTGGAGTCAATGTTGAACAGATTATCCAGTAGTGGAGTCAATGTTGTACATCTTATCTAGGAGTATAGTTTACCTGAAATTGAATTATTATAATACTGTGTAATTAGATGTGAAGTCAATGCTGGATTGTTTATATATGGGGTGTGAAGTCATGGTTTTGTGTGTGTGGGGGTTTGGAGTGAGACAATTGTGTGGCAGTGTGGGAGTCTAGTCAATGTTGTTAATTATTCATGCAGGTGTCATAGTTAAAAATGTGCATGGAGTTAGAATCAATGTTGTAAAGTTTACTTTAGGATGGAATCAATGTTGTAAAGTTTACTTTAGGATGAAATCAATGTTGTAAAGTTTACTTTAGGATGAAATCAATGTAAAGTTTCAATGTCAATGTTGTAAAGTTTACTTTAGGATGGAATCAATGTTGTAAAGTTTACTTTAGGATGGAATCAATGTTGTAAAGTTTACTTTAGGATGAAATCAATGTTGTAAAGTTTACTTTAGGATGGAATCAATGTTGTAAAGTTTACTTTAGGATGGAATCAATGTTGTAAAGTTTACTTTAGGATGAAATCAATGTTGTAAAGTCAATGTTGTAAAGTTTACTTTAGGATGGAATCAATGTTGTAAAGTTTACTTTAGGAATGGAATCAATGGAAGTTTACAATGTTGTAAAGTTTACTTTAGGATGGAATCAATGTTGTAAAGTTTACTTTAGGATGGAATCAATGTTGTAAAGTTTACTTTAGGATGGAATCAATGTTGTAAAGTTTACTTTAGGATGGAATCAATGTTGTAAAGTTTACTTTAGGATGGAATCAATGTTGTAAAGTTTACTTTAGGATGGGATCAATGTTGTGAAGTTTACTCTAGGATGGAATCAACTTTGTAAAGTTCACTTTAGGATGGTTCAAATGTTGTAAAGTTTACTTCAGGATAAAATCAATGTTGTTATGTTTATTTTTGGATGAAGTCAATGAGGTAAAATTTACTTTAGGGTGGAATCAATGTTGTAAAGTGTACTTTAGGACAGAGCCAGTGTTGAAAAACTGACTTTATGTATAACCAGGGACTAATAGGTGTATTACAACATCTCAGCAGCGTCTGTGGCTTAGTTTTTGCGAGTCCAATTTGTACCAGTATGGCTGTCCTGAGGAAGTAAAGATGGCCGGCGTAATGCTGACCACATTACCCACCTAGTGCCGATTGGCCTGTAAAAATATGTGTGCTTTTCCCATATGTCCGATGCGCCTAAAGGTGTGAAAAGGGATCTTTGCTTTACTTTTTTTTACTCACATTTCTCCTGGGCCCAATAGGTGCATTACAACATCCCTCCTAGGACCACAATTTTGTTCATGATAACCAAGTATTTGTCTTAAGCAAGTTTGTGTTAATGTGATTTTACTGTAATAAAACTGAGTAAGGTGTGGAAAGTAGGAGCTTTTTAAACACTACAATGTCATATCTATATCAGTGAAATCCACACCATTGCATCTATGATTATCTTTGTAACAATTATCCATTTTCATTATATTTAAGAAATTTTATTTTTCACATTTCCTTAAAGGCTTGTGTTCCGTTGTTATGGAAACCAGAACTGAAATATGAGAACAAGGATGCTGAGAAATAGACAGTTAATGCAGTCCACATAAAAAAATGTTTTTTGTACACTGACAAAAAATGTGTCAGCTGAAAATGATTACGTAAAACTCTTCCTCTGCCTCCTCTTTTTGCTCTGCCCTCCATTTTTTTTTCTAATTCCTCCAGACGTCTACATAAATAAATCTAGAGAATGCAGCAGCCAACCTTAAACTGTTAACAATTCCATGAGCATTAAGTCAGAGGGAGACGAGTCAGAGGGAGACAAGTCAGAGGGAGACAAGTCAGAGGGAGACAAGTCAGAGGGAGACAAGTCAGAGGGAGACAAGTCAGAGGGAGACAAGTCAGAGGGAGACAAGTCAGAGGGAGTCAGAGGGAGACAAGTCAGAGGGAGACAAGTCAGAGGGAGACAAGTCAAGTCAGAGGGAGACAAGTCAGAGGGAGACAAGTCAAAGGGAGACAAGTCAGAGGGAGACAAGTCAGAGGGAGACAAGTCAGAGGGAGACAAGTCAGAGGGAGACAAGTCAGAGGGAGACAAGTCAGAGGGAGACAAGTCAGAGGGAGACAAGTCAGAGGGAGACAAGTCAGAGGGAGACAAGTCAGAGGGAGACAAGTCAGAGGGAGACAAGTCAGAGGGAGACAAGTCAGAGGGAGACAAAGAGAAGATTCTGGACAGTTTAACATTATGACATCGAAAAATAATCTGTGTCAGAAGTGATTGATAGTACAAGAGACAGACGGTTGTGGATAGACAATGGCATGGGCTAGAAGAAAAAGAAGAAGAAATCCTTTCCCATCTAGTAAATCATAACATAAGGCTTTAAAAAAAAAAAAGGCTTACTTCTTTCAATGGCGTACGTATCTTCATCTAACTCCTCTTCCTTCTCTCGGAAGTAGTGAAGACCAAAGTCTGTAATCTTGACCACAAATCGACTGTCAACAACACAGTTACTGGACTTGAGATGACCATGGCTCCGGATGTCGGTGCTGTGAAGGTAGGCCATTCCCTGAACACAAACAGAGAAACAAATTATGTTGACTTTTCAATTAATATAATGCGGAAGCCACGCATCCAAAGGTTTTGGGCTTGAATCCATACACAGATGATAATTCTTCTAGTCAATATGGTGGATAGGCTGTATGTTTTTAGTCATAGCAAGTTTTTTGCTTCTGACAATTTTTAGTCATTGGATTTTTCTCCTTTGGCAGACTAAAAGGATATAGTTCCATTACCCAGCTACTAAACTGAGTGCATAACATGATACCGTGTGCTACAAATTTCATTTGGAATGATTTTCACTTGTGCCCAGTCTGATCTCTGTTGTGAACTGCAGATTCAGAGAATGGGGAGTGTCTTACACGTCATTATACATTGGCTAATTTCTGTACTACTTAGTTAGTCAAGTCAAGAATTTAAATCACAGCACTCGGGGCATTCTCATGTGTGCTCCATCCTCATCTTCAGCAGCCAGCGCAGAGTTCTAATGCTGATGTACCAGTCACAATCTGGTTATAGGTCCGTCTCCCCTTTCCTCTGAGTGTAGCGAGTCAGCCAAACCCTCTGGTTACACTCAGGGGCCTCATTCTCTCCTGGCCATAATAATCTTGTTTCTCTACTGATTTCGTTACTTGTTCCCAAAGGGCCTTGACCACATCTGCCTTGTCTTGTATCAATTCACCACCCAGTGCTGCAGATCCAGCCAATCTGTCTGCCTGTTCATTACCCAGAATGAAGGCATAGAAAGGAGAAAAGATCTAAAGTATGCTCACTACCTGTGATCTTTCCAGGAAAGCTTGCCACTCTGCCTGAAGCATCCCTGTCTTCACCTTTCTTAGGATACTTTCAGAGTCTCTTACAATTACGACATGTATATGCATTTTGTTCTCTAATTTCTGTACTGTTCTTCCCAAATGTCCATCATGTCTCTGGTTATCCCAGTCATTTTTCAACAATTTTAGTTTGATGAAACCCAAAGACTATTGCCTAAAGTTACACAAACTCTAATTTAGAATGTTTTAAAGCAATAACTGTCTGCTATTGAAAGAGTTGCAATATTCGTGCCGAATTTGGGTTAAAATTCTTTGCAGTGTAGAGTAGGCGTTGGTGGTAGGCACAGGGGGTTAAGGACTGCATGGCTAGTGCTATCACCAGGGACTGTTGTAAAAGTTAGGATTTTATTTTTGCTTCTGACAGAAAAAATCTACAACCCTACTGAACATTTGAATCTGGGTCTTCTGCATAAGAGCCAACCGTTCTTTACCATCGACCAGCCGCTTATGAATTCTGAATATGGAGAAGTTAATATTATGAAAACAAAAAGGATGCATATATTAGTTTTCAGTTGAAAGTCATCAACATCATCCTCAACTTGCACATGAGTTCTTGTGAGATCACAATTCAAGTAGCCATATGGCTCATTTGCTCCTCTAAACATTGTTTCTTTCATCTGCATTTATTTTAACTAATCCATTATGAGTGTTTTTGCAGTTGTCATATTTTTAGCCAAAACATCGGCTACCACACACTCCTCCATGCCAAGGACAGTATTTTCATGTGATTTCCTAAAATGTCGAAGTGCAGATGCTTGGTATTAGCTCATGCCACAAGAGTGCACTCTTCAAACCTTCTGTAATGCCAGAAGGGTATCCGATTCCTCTGGTAACGGTTCACAAACTCGAAACAAACTGTAAAAAAATACAAACTACTCTAATGGTACTGTACTTACTCTGACAATGTCTTGCATGATGGAATATCTAAACATCCAATCCAGTTTTATTTGTTCATTTTCCAAGACATCCTGTAAATTAGAATATTCAGAATTTTAAACTCATCTGACTCCAAATGAACCAATCAAAGACTATTGTGTGACTTGAACAAACCAATCAATGACTATTGTGTGACTTAAACAAACAAACAATGACTATTGTGTGACTAAAACAAACCAATCAATAACTATTGTGTGACTTACACAAACAGTCAATGACTATTGTGTGACTTAAACAAACCAATCAATGACTATTGTGTGACTTAAACAAACAATTAATGATTATTGTGTGACTAAAACAAACCAATCGATGAATACTGTGTGTTTAAACAAAGCAACCAAGGACTACTCAGTGACTGAAACAAGCTAGTCAATGACAATTGTGTGACTTAAGCAAACAGGTAAATGACAATTGTGTGACTTAAACAAACTAGTCAATGACAATTGTGTGACTTAAAAAAAAACATGTAAATGACAATTGTGTGACCTAAACCAACAGGTAAATGACAATTGTGTTATTTTAACAAACCAATCAATGACCATTGTGTACTTAAACAAATCAATCAACAACTGTTATGTGTTAAAACAAACCAATCAACAACTATTGTGTGACTTAAATAAACCAATCACTTGTTTCTTTATATAAAGAATATGTACTGGTAGTCTACCCACTTTCACTATTAAAATACATCAATCAATGACTACCTTACATTATTAAAATACAACAATCAGTGACTCCCTTAAATTACTAAAACACACTAAATGATGACTCCCTGTCATTACTAAAATATACTAATCAGGTCTTTTTACATGATTTTAAAAAACACCAATCGTTGATTGCTTTACATTACTAAATTACCAGTCTTTAACTCCATAAAAATTACTAAAACACACTAATGGATACCTCTCTGATTTGACCTAAATAGACCAAACAACCCCTCATATGATCAAAACACTCACTTCTTCTTCTTCTTGTATTCACTTTCTGATTTACACCTACAGACAGGTTCTTGTGATAAACTTGACTGTTTTTATGAGTTCCTTTTTAGTCCCATTCAACTTTGTGTGCAGTGGTGACTCACTGGGTCAGTATTCCTTTCTTAATGGACTGAACAAGGGACAGTCTTGCAGGACATGTTCTGTAGTCTGCACACATAGCCCACAAGGGCACAAAGGTGAACTACTTAGACAAAGCCTGTGCATATGCTGGTTAAGTTTGTTATGTCCTGTCCTGAGACGTAGGATAATGATCTGTCCATGCCGGTCAAGTGTGTGGTAGTCATCTCTGGCCAGACTCTGTTCACTTCTAATAGCCTGGATAGCCCTTTTGTTCTCATAGTATGTTACTGCATTCTCTTTCTGGTCACATTCTGCCTCTTTCTTAAACTCTCACTTAATCCCTAAAAAAGTTAAGTGACTTTTCAACTGTTTTGCTTGTAGTATAGTCAGTGTTTGTTGTTATAGTTGCTGTTGTTATTGTTGTTGCTGATGAAGTCTTTTTAACACACCTACCTGCAAACTCCCTTTGGGACAGTATTCAGTCAGAATGCACTGGTTTGGAATGTCAATGCAGACACCATGGAAACGGACCAGGTGATCGTTCTGGAGGTCTTTCATCTACAAAGTACAGCAATGTAAAATATACAACATCAAACAAAACCATAATAGTTATATCATAGTCAGGGATTATTTCACAATCATTAAACAAAACCATGTTAGTCATATCATAGTGTAAGGGATTATTTCATAATCATTAAACAAAACCATGTTAGTCATATTAGGAGTCAGGGATTATTTCACAATCATTAAACAAAACCATGTTAGTCATATCATAGAGTCAGGGATTATTTCACAATCATTAAACAAAACCATGTTAGTCATATCATAGAGTCAGGGATTATTTCACAATCATAAAACAAAACCATGTTAGTCATATCATAGAGTCTAGGATTATTTCACAATCATTAAAATAAACCATGTTAGTCATATCAAAGAGTCAGGGATTATTTCACAGTCATTAAACAAAACCATGATAGTTATATCATAGAGTCTAGGATTATTTCACAATCATTAAACAAAACCATGAAAGTCATATCATAGAGTCTAGGATTATTTTACAATCATTAAAATAAACCATGTTAGTCATATCATAGAGTCAGGGATTATTTCACAGTCATTAAACAAAACCATGAAAGTCCAATCATAGAGTCAAGGATTATTTCCTAATCATTAAACAAAACCATGATAGTTATATCATAGAGTCAGGGATTATTTCACAGTCATTAAACAAAACCATGATAGTTATATCATAGAGTCTAGGATTATTTCACAATCATTAAAAAAACCATGAAAGTCATATCATAGAGTATAGGATTATTTCACAATCATTAAACAAAGCCATGAAAGTCCAATCATAGAGTCAGGGATTATTTCATAATCATTAAACAAAACCATGATAGTTATATCATATAGTCAGGGATTTTTTCACAATCATTAAACAAAACCATGATAGTCATATCATAGAGTCGTGGATTATTTCACAATCATTAAACACGTTTAAAGCTCTTTAAAACCATCACTTTTGATTAACACACACTTTTGGATTTATTTTGTGCTACAACTACATCTGCTTCTACTACTGCTGCTACTACGTAACTACTGCTATAATATTGCTACTACTAGTCCTACTCCTGTACTACTTCTGCTGCTGCAACTGCAACCGGCAAAATCTAGCAGCACCACTAATCTACTACAACAACAACTCAGACAATAACAAAACCAACAACTACTACAACCATTACCACAACAAATAGTGCTGCTATTACTACTTCTGCTACCACTGTTACTACTACCACCACTACTACTACTTCTATTATTACCATTACTACTACTACTGCTAATGGCAAACTACTGGATGTAAACATGCCTAGAAAAACGTCAACAGCCAAAAAATGCTGGTGTTGGTTCTGCAACGTTCTGTAAAGGATACGCAACTAACTAACTACTACTGCTACTACTAATACTATTCACTACTACTTCTAACTACTACTACTACTACTACTACTACTACTACTGCTGCTGCTGATGCAGCTGCTGCTGATACTACTACTGCTACTACTTCTACTACCACTGTTACTGCTACTACTGATACTACTAATACTATTTACTACTACTTCTAACTACTACTACTACTACTACTACTACTACTACTACTGCTACTACTACTACTACTAGCTACTACTACTACTACTACTACTACTACTACTACTACTACTACTACTACTATTACTACTACTACTGCTGCTGCTGCTGCAGCAGCTGCTGCTGCTGCTGCTGATACTACTACTGCTACTACTTCTACTACCACTGTTACTGCTACTACTACTACTACTGCTACTACTAGCTTCTACTACTTACTACTACTACTACTTACTACTACTACTACTACTACTACTTCTTCTACGACTGTTACTACGACTACTCCTGTACCACTGCTACTACTATTACTACTATCTACTGCTACTACTACTAACTACTACAACAACTATTATTACTATTGCTGCTGCTACTATTGTTACTACTACTAACTACAACTGTTGCTACTACTAGTACTGTTGCTACTGCTACTAAGACCTTTTTGTTTTCAAAGTAAAAACAGAAAAATTACTAATACTCAAAGTTTCTGAATAGATCCCGGTACTCCCTATAACGAGTCTATTACAGTAACCCTGAAAAAAAAAAGTGTCTAAAAGAAGTGTCAGTACTGTTAGGTGCGCCCCCCCCCCCTTCCCCAATATTGAGATGAGAACAAAACTCTTCAAATTTCCATAAGTGCGTCGTCCTCATCTTCAGCAGCCAGCGAAGAGTTTTTACTCTGATAGTTTCAGTAGCAGTTTCATGTCTTGCCATTTCTCTGAGTGTAGAGTATCGATCAGATTTTCAGGTCACACAGTTCTCTCCTCCAGACCAAAATTCATGCCTTTATTCACCAGCGGGCGCAGAACCGGCCAATGTGTCTAGCTGTTCATCTCCCAAAACTCCTGCATGTCCAGAGGACACCACCACCATAACTTGTTTACTGGTTATACTGCCAGGAACGATAACTGACCACCACCCCCCAACTGCCACTACCACTGCAACTTCGAACGCCATCACCACCCCCCTGACCGTCTCACCTTTTTGATCTCCAACAACAGTGGTTTCTGTATGCTGATGTGAGCTCTCTGTATAGGCTTGATGGCCAGTATGGCACCCTGGAGAAATATAGGCGTCAAACTTTGTGGAAACAGTTCAATATCCAGCCACCAAGAAACACATTTCTTTGATTACAACTAAAGCAACCATCACAACTCACACTTGCTGAGCACTAGTGACAAAAAGGCGCACATACACACACATAAACACACACACACACACACACACAAGATATATGTATATACACATAAAGCAAGAATATATATATATACAGATATATACACACACATACACTAAAGCAAAAAAAATAAATATATATATATATATATATATATATATATATATATATATATATATATATATATATACAGATTTACACACACACATACACTAAAGCAAGAAAAAAAAATATATATATATATACATATATATATATATATATATATATATATATATATATATATATATATATATATATATATATATATATTTATACATACACTATATATATATATATATATACACACACACAAACATATACACACACGCACACACACATGCGCATGCACACACTCACACACACACACATACACACACACACACACACATACACACCCACACACACACGCACACACACATACACACACACACTCACACACACAGACACGCACACACACACCCACACCACACACGCACACACACACACACGCCCGTAGTCTGCTGATGGGACGTTAGTGTTTCAGGCCCTGACGGAGCTGGTTTTTAATGTTTTTTCAATAACCTTGAACCTCAGGTTAACCCAGCCGTGAGTGGGTAACAGGTAAAGTCGTGGGAAGTAAAGGCGGCCAGTGTTATGCTGACCACATCACAAAGCAACTACCATTTGGTTAATAAAAATAGGTATAGCCCTATATGCTACATACCCATGAAGGTGTGAACAAAGTATCCTTTCATATATATAGACTCTGAAGACTTGATATGGTGAACTCCCCGTGGACCCAAGAAATTATTTTTTCTTATCAGAAATTCCTCTTATCCAGATAAGATTTCAAGCATGTCAAATTGTCGGGATTAAAAACTGTAACCACGTCTGACTTGGTGGTCTGCTAAGGTCGAAAGCACAACAGGAGAATCCCGAGACCAGGAGGTCATGACCTCTGTCGGTCTATGCCCATGGCCAGCCATGACCTACTTTAGATCTAAACTATGTCAAGTTTGGCTCGTTCCCAGATATTTTTTAGGGGTCAAACGGGCCGAAACATTTGTTGAAAAAGGCAAGTGGGAGCTCTACTGATAATCGGTAGACTCATGCTCTGTAGGTTTCTATTGTAAATTACTTTATACTGGTAGTCTGGTAGTAGTCTTAGTTTCAGCTTCATTGCAAACGGGTCACCCCATCTTTGCTCCGCTCCTGTGCCAACGAAAAACGCACAGAATGTTTATCACAGTCCCTTGTGGAAAGATTGACAGACTGCTGTCTCAGCATATCTAGCATACACTCGCATTAAAGCATACGGTAGCCATCCGAAGTGCTAACACAAACAATCCGACATTAGAAATGCAGTTCATCATTGATGGTAGCAGAAGTCACCAAAAGATCAGCAGTTGCCCACGCAATCAATTTTAATCACATACGGGCACCACTAACATTGCACGACAGGCATCGAACCATTTTTTGAAACTACAATTCACACCACCACGTTGGTCACAGTCGAAAAAAAAACCCATTCCAAATGAAATTCGCAGCTCACAGTGTCACGCCATGCATTCATCTCAGAAGCTAGGCGACGAAACTATATCCAGTCTACAAATGGAACAAAAATGCATCGGCCACCGTCCGGCTGATAGGTAGGTAGGCAACCAGATATAAACAGTCGGGGAAAGAGGCAAACAAAACATCGAGGCAAACAAACAAGTCGCGTACCTTATAGTAACCAGTCTTGGTAAATAGCTGCCTGTTGCCCACGTCACTCAAGTGGACCGCAATGGTGTCTCCAGAACAGTCACTGTGGTAGGAATTTCTCTTCAAGAAGATAATTACAAAAATAAATTATTATAACAAATGGTGTCTTCTGGTTTTCCCGTGTTGTCTCTGAGGCATCATTCTGGCAGGAACAAGAAAAAAGGATAGACTTACTGCCCCCCTAAAGAGTATGTCGGATGGGGCAACTAATTACGGGTGTTTTCCTTCGACGTCCACAGTGCATCTGTGTGAGGCCAGGAGCCAACAATCTGCATACAAACAAGCCAGATCTGTAAAACGGGTGTGCGCGCGAAACTCAAGTTCTGGAACAACATAAAAGTCCAGAAGAGGACGAACTACCAAAACTGTCCACTGACATTTACAGCGGGGGAACGCAAAGAATAAGAAGAAGAAGAAGAAGAAGAAGAAGAAGAAGAAGAAGAAGAAGAAGAAGAAACAAGAAGAGCGAAGAGGAAATAAGAGGAAGAAGAAAGAAGAGGAAGTAGAAAGAATAGGAAGAAGAGATTTGTCGCCCACGCCTGTCCGCAAAGCACTTTATGAACACCTGTCTAACATATATTCTATTTTTTAACATTAAAACAGTTTTAAAAAAAATGAGAAGACAGGAAAACAATGGCTTTGAAATGCACTTGCTCCCCACCTAATTTTCCTTATTGTTGACGTGGAATTAATTTATCACTTCCTTCTGCGGCTTGTTAAGTACAGGTTTGATTGATTGATTAAAGCATTAGCCAGATTTGATGGGCTTGTGCTTGTAATCCAGCTTTAAGTGTCCTGTTTCCTCTGGCAACATTCTAGAGTGGAAGGATGTTGAATTTGATTCGCTGTTTCTGGGAGCAGTTAGCGCAATGGGTAGCTATCTTGTTTTGTGTTGCGGGTTACAGCTGTATTGCGATATCTGCGTCTTTGGCCCCACGCACCTGAATTTTGCAAACCCACAATTAGGTCGGGGGGGGGGGGGGGGGGGGGGGGAGGAAACAGCCGTGGTGTAGCGACTAGAGGCTCGCCTGCCGATCAGAAGATCGTGGGTTCTGGTCTTGACGTTTTCCAAAATTACCTTGGCTTCAAGCCTCAAGTCGGTACCGGTTGGGGGGAGAGGTTCCTGTAAAGTAAAGGCGATCAGCGTGATGTTTGCCATATCACTCACCGGGTTGGTCTGTAAAATATAGGTCTAGCCCTATGTGTCTAATGCACATGAAGGCGTAGAAAGGGGTCCTTGGCGTTACTTTATACAACAGAGTCGTCTTATACGACACGCTTTTTAGGGAACAGTGGACCCCAGAACCCAAACGGTAAAAGTCTATCAGAACTCGCACTTTAGATAGTGCTTGATTGTAATGAGCGTCATTATAAAGAAAGACAAACATGTAGGTACACATCTTACATGGCCGTTGGTCTGTTTCTCCACTTTCTTGTTGTTTCTGGTCGGGTCGCCAAACATGATGTCGTCAAATCTCACGCGCCAATTCATTTCTGCTAGTTCCGCCTCCAGTTTAAAATGTCTGAAAAAAAAAAAAAAAAAAAAAGCAATTGGTAGCCGGCGAGTGGATCATCGGTGAACTGGTTGCCCATTGGGTTGCCGGTAAACGACTTCGTCTTCGGTCGGGGGCAGTATCTTTGTCTTCGGTGATCACATCAACACTGTAGGAGTCCTCTTAAGGGCTCTTGGTGGCGTGCAATGATAAGCCATATGATGTTGTGCACATAATTGCCACAGTTATAACCTAAACCTCCCCCTTTGTGGATGCTGGATGAACCTGACGATTTTTTTTTCCCGAGCAAAGCAACGGAACAGGTGACCAGTTAGAAGTCTGATCTTTTGTGTTTGAAGAGATGGGTACCCAGTCATGTTAAGGTAAAGATTGTTTAAAAAAATATACAGCGAACCATGCCAAACACACATGCACGTGCGCACACATACTTTCTTTATCAAACTCAAAATATAAACACATTTAAAGGCGCTGGAAAATAGGGGCTCAGGTACCATGGGGGTCTCTGCGGCGAAGTCGTCAAGCGTTTGCCTAGCGCTCTTAATGTCGTATGCTCGTTTCACGGCGGGGCCCGTTCAGTTCACTTGTGCAGTTTTTACGGAGATTCCCGCGGATCGTCGCCGGATCGTGCTCTGTGCGGCAGGCAGCTAGCTGTTCTGCGAAGAGAGACTGAGCCATATAAGATAAAACTCGATGCAATTAGGTTTTTTTTTTCTCCACGTGTGACCACCGTCCGGTGAAATCTTGGAATAAGCTAGAAAATTGAACATTCACGTACAGTTATCCCCGGTCTGGCTTCCGCGGCCATACTATACGGAAAATAAGAATAGACCCACTGCCTATCTTAAAGCATGTCGCAAGAGTCGACTAATTGGGAGCTTCCATCGAAGTCGGAGTAATCTGCCTGATAGGCAAGAAACCAACAGTCTGCACACAAATGTGTCAGATCTGTCACAGGGATGCACACGCAACACAGGTTCTGGAATAGGACTGCAGTCCAGAAGTGGACGAACAATCAGAAATTTCCACCAGAGTTTACAGCTGGTGAACGCAAAGAATAAGAAGTAGTTATATCTGTAGACTTTATTAGACTCTACAGGTTTGCATACTTTGTAATGCGTGAAATGTGTTGCTGTGAATTTTCACTGTAGCATTTTTCTTCAGTGTAGTTAAAGAGCATATTGTTTCGTTTATTTTTTGGTAACAATAGTTGGGGTTTTTATACCATTGTCGAGCGAGTAATTAACCCTTTTACCCAGGTGACCCAGAAAAGATTTAAAAGAAAGGAGGTGAGGGTTAAATAACTTGCTTGTGATGTCCAGTTTTCATCCGAAAATATTGGCTGGATGTCCCGCTTTCAGCTGAAAATATTAGCTGGATGTCCCGTTTTCAGCTCAAGATAGTCATCCTAGCACAGAGTGGTCCATTGTTCATCACGTGCGAAGCTCGTTGCCTTTCGTCATTCAGGTCATAGAGACAAATAATCGGGGGACGATAGTTCTCATTTCCCTTGACTACAAGTAATCCGACTACCGAGGTCATGTCGGTCACGTGAGCAATGGTCTGTCTGCACAGACAAACCTTTACCCAAGCATGTCTTCTCTGTGACTCGGTGAGTAGGATCGGGAAGAATGACACAGACTGGATCGACATAAGTGGCTGGGGTCTTTTAGGAAGTCATGGCTGACAAAAATCAAAGTTTCTTGTGTGTGGTGTGTGTGGGTCCGTGTGTGTGTGTGTGTGTGTGTTTGTGTGTGTGGCGTGTGTGTGTGTGTTTGGTGTAGGTCAGAACATGTGGGTAGGTGTGAACAGAAAAAAAAATCGATGATTTTGCTGGCGGTGCCAAAGTGAGCAAGCTTTTGAGATATGGCCTGTACTGATGATATACTGAATGCGGTCAGGAAGTCAGCAAGGGAAAATAAATAAAGGACCATTTCCCACGCCTTTAGGTCTACTGGCCGTATAGGATTACACACATATTGTTTTTTGGACTAATCGGCATTCAACAGACAATGTTGTCAACATCACTTCCCGGGACTTTACATGGTACCCATTTAGGAATGAGTCGACTTGGGACTAAGAATACACACACTCTCGCCGGCTACACACATACTCTCGCAGGTTACATACACATTCTTTCAGGCTACATACATAATCTTGCAGGCTACATACACACTATCCCAGGCTACATACACACTCTGCCAGGCTACATACACCCTCTTTCAGAATATACACATTCTCCCAGAATATACACACTCTCCCAGAATATACACATTCTCCTATAATATATACACACCCTTCCAAAATATACACAATCTTCCAGAAAAAACACACTTTCCCAAGAATATACACACACTTCCAGAATATAACACTCCTAGGATATACAAACTCTTCTAGGATATACACACACTTCCTGAATATACACACTCTTCGAGAATATACAAACTCTGCCAGGCTACACAAACACTCTCACAAAATATACAAACTCTTCTAGAATATAACTCTCTCCCAGGCTATATACACACTCTTCCAGAACATACACACACACACTCTCTCTCACACACACACACTCTCATGATATACATGCATTGTCCCAGGCTATATACACAATCTCACAGGATGCATACATACACACACACATATCCCACGACACACACACACACTCCCAGGACACATGCACATTCTCTCAGGTTACACACACACACAATCTCTCAAAGGCTACACACAATCTCTCAGACTACACACAAACTCTCAAAGACTAAACACACTCTCTCAGGATACAAACACAATCTCTCAGGTTACACAGACACTCTCAAAGGCTACACACAGACTCTCAAAGGCTACAAACTCTCTCAGGCTACACACACTCTCTCAGGTTACACACACTCTCTCAGGTTACACACACTCTCTCAGGTTACACACACTCTCTCAGGCTACACACACTCTCAAAGGCTACACACACTCTCTCAGGTTACACACACTCTCTCAGGTTACACACACTCTCAAAGGCTTCACACACTCTCTCAGGTTACACACACTCTTAAAGGTTACACACACTCTCTCAGGCTACACACTCTCTCAGGTTACACACACTCTCTCAGGTTACACACACTCTCAAAGGCTTCACACACTCTCTCAGGTTACACACACTCTTAAAGGTTACACACACTCTCTCAGGCTACACACACTCTCTCAGGTTACACTCTCAAAGACTATACACACTCTGAAAGGCTACACACACTCTCTCAGGTTACACACACTCTCAAAGGCTACACACACTCTCAAGCGCTACAAATACTCCCCCGTGATACACTCTCTAAGATACAAACACACTTCTGGGATATCATAACTCTCTCAGGGTAGACACACACTCACAAAAGATACATACATTCTCCAAGGGCACACACACTCTCACCCCAATAATAAACACACACTCCGAGGATACACATGCTCTCCCATAATCTTCATGGACTCTCCCAGGATAGGATGTACTCTCCCATTATAGTATGTTCTCTCCCAGGATAGTATTACTCTCCTAGGATAGAATGTACTCTCCCAGGATAGTATGTAATCTCCCAGGATTCGCATGCACTCTCCTACAATACATAAACCTTCTCCCACGATTCAGACACTCTCCAATGAGACACCACTCATTATCCTAGGAAAGACAGACACACTCTCACAGGATACAGACACTCTCCCATGATACCCGCTCTCCGAGGATACACACACACGCTCTGAGGATAAACGCACTCATTTCACATTCCTGAGATGCTCTCCTAGACCAAGCACTCATTGGGGTCATATGGCGAAGGGGTCAAGCCATTTACCTGAGACCTGAAGGTGGTCAGGGGTTCGTTTCAGGACTGCATCCTTCAGAACATGAGTCCAATTTTTAGGGAGATTTCTGAGGATCGTCATCAGAGCTACGGAATTCATGCTTTGTGTGACGATATCGGCAGGTGGCTTGTCGCTTAGCGGAGAGAGACCCAGAAGTCTGGGATAAAATCCGGAGGAATGAAGCGAGTCCTCTAACATACAATCTCTCAGGCATTCTTACTGACATATGAGCAGGCATTAAACTTACCTGTACACAAAGAAAGTCACAATAAGAACCACAAGCAGTATGGAACCCAGGACGATAATCACAATGGCATACTCCGGAAATGGTTCTGTAGGAAGAGGGTAAATGGTTTCTGTGAGAAACTGTGCACCAGTGTTTTATGAATGTCTGTCTGTCTGTCTGCATGTCCGCCGACCTGTCCATCTTATTGAAACAGACTGTAGACTAGCAGCCATCCATTAAAAAATTGTTGGTTATAGAAACGGACAGTCGACTGAACATACAAACGGTCAGATGTTGGCACAGACAGCCAGATGTATTGACAAGAAACACACACATTTATGAATATATAAATATATATATACAACATAAACAACTATTTCCACGCCTTCAGGCTATTGGGCATATAGGGCACGAAATACATTTCTTTGATCGATCAGCACTCGGTGGGTGATATGGTCAATCAACATCATGCTGGCTATATACAAATATATATATATATATATATATATATATATATATATATATATATATATATATATATATATATATATATATGGATTTCCTAGCAGTACGCAGTATCGGCACCATTTTAAGGCATTCTTGTTTTCAGCGTAACTGTGCTAGACAATATATAGCGAGTACCGTTCTTTCTCTCTCTCTCTCACCCACACACACACACATATACACACATATATACACACACACATATAAATATTGCAGTTTGGCCGAAGGGATAAAAACCGCACACATACGTAGAGATAAGATCGGATTAGACATGGTGATAGATGGTAATAAAACTGGGGAAAAGAATGGAGGAGTTTATCCATGTAAAAGTATAGGATGTTATGCGGCGTGACTCGAAGAAGTATGTTCTGTCTGAGAATAAACCGCAGAGAAAGACAAAAAGAAAGAAAGAAAGAAAGAAAGAAAGAAAGAAAGAAAGAAAGAAAGAAAGAAAGAAAGAAAGAAAGAAAGAAAGAAAGAAAGAAAGAAAGAAAGAAAGAAAGAAAGAAAGGAAGGTAGAAGAAGAAAAAGAAGAAGAAGAAGCAGAAGAAGAAGAAGAAGAAGAAGAAGAAGAAGAAGAAGAAGAAGAAGAAGAAGAAGAAGAAGAAGAAGAAGAAGATGAAGAAGATGAAGAAGAAGAAGAAGAAAAAGAAGAAGAAAAAGAAGAAAAAGGGGAAGGAAAAGGAGGAGGAGGAGTAGGAGAAGAAGAAAAAGAAGAAGAAGAAGAAGAAAATGCTGACGACTATGATGACGACGACGACGTTGATGATAAGGGTGACAATGGTGATCTCAGCCCAATGCTCAGGGAAAAGTAGGTCATAGAAATATATTTGTAACTTCCCTCATCATTAATTTAATGTTTGCCTTATGTTAAACGACAAAAGCCATTGCTACCCATCAAATAATGGATTAAAAACGGGCCCTCCTCACGACGCTTAGGGGAAGTGGAAATTAAAAAAAGATGGTGAATTGCATTAAAGAGAAGAATCTTACTTTCTGGTGGACACAGGCTTCCATCAAAGCCACACATAGGAGTATCAGGCGGAGGACCGTCTCTCCCACCAGCCCAGTGGATCTTCTTCCCGTCAACGGGAGTATACTTTTTGGTGTTTCCAAAGTAGTCAGCTACAACCTGCACCGAGAATATACATAAGTATGAGATAGATTTCTAATAAACGATATTATTCGTATGCGGAAGATAAGTCCCCCCGACACTTCGATGAGGTACAAGGTGGAAGAGAAGAAGAAGAAGAAGAAGAAGAAGAAGAAGAAGAAGGAAGATAAGTGGAAACCAACACAATAATATATGAGAAATAACTTTATAAAGAAATTCGCTTCATTAATACTTAATTAATACTTTGATAGACAAGGGAGACGAACATAATAATATCCCAAGTATACGTTCAAAGACAAGGTAAACTACTACATTATTATCATAAGAATACGTTTATACAGAAGAAAGACTAACATATTAATATCCGAAGAATACGTTCATATACAAGGCAAATATCATATTATTTATCATATTATATCTTATTTTATATCCCAACTGACTGACTGACTATCTACCCCACTAGGACATCGCACAAGCGATAAACACCCGATGACACATTGTGCCACTATGTGTGGGAGATCACCGTGGAGAGGTCCTAGAAACCGCGTTCAGCCTTTAGGCCATATTTATGGCCAGGCTATATTGCGGCCCCTGGCAAGAGCCAGAGTAGGGCTTCAAATAACGAAAAATTTCACCCTAAAAAGGACGGAAGGATTATATCTCAAGAATACGTTTATAGACAGGGAAGACTAAAGTAAAAATGTCCAACAAATACATTACAATAAACAATAGACATACCTACACTGGACTACAAGTTAGTTTCTAAGCATTTTGCAGTGCCCCAATAAAACTGTGTAGAGTCGTCCCCATGTGAAATGCAATTTTTAGCTTTTGTGAAGCCCCACCCTGGCTTTTGCCGAGGGCCCTAAATATAGCCAGGCCATAAATATGGCCCAACGGCTAAACGCGGTTTCCGGGATCTCTCCCCGGGTTATCCTCCTCCGCATGGTGGCACCTTGTGTCACCAGGTGTTTATACTTGTGTGATGTCCTGGTGGGGTACAACTTACCTATCTTACCTACCGAATACAATACAATGAACAATAGATAAACCTACACTGAACTACAAGTTAGTTTCCAACCGTTTTGCAGTGCCCCAATAAAACTGTGCTATATGGTTCTGTTTGACAGAAATTAAAAGGAGGATGGGCATAGCAATGCAAAGATTGAACAGCCTTTAAAGTCCATGGTTAAACACCAGCAAGAAAATCAAAATTAGAATTTTGAGAGCATGCATGCATACGGATGTGAGTCGTGGACTATCTCTCAGTCCTTAAGAAAGAGAATAGGGGCTTTTAAGTTGAAATGTTATAGACAGATTCTCAGAAAATCTTGGACAAAGAAAAGGAGAAAAACTGACATCTTAAAAGATCTGAACATCAAGGAAGATTGGCTTATGAACAGCATCCTGTCTCGGAAGCTGAAATATTTTGGTCATATCAAGCGACACGACGGATTGGAAAATATGATAGCAGAAGGTATGGTACCAGGAAGGAGGGGCAGGGGTCGACCGACACGAAGATAGGCACAGGATATAAGTGACTCCTTAAGTATGAAAGTGGAAGAGGCGGGAGAACTGGCGAGAGACCGAGTTTCTTTCAGGCAGATTGTGATGAGAGCGACGTTCTGCAAAGGACCTGCTACATGATGATGATGATGATAAATGGTTCTACGGTTGAAATGGAATGTTGATGCTACCGACTGCGATCCTAGAGGGTAATATGGCCCGTCTACTGCGTTCCAATGTCGGAGGCAATTTGCTGTTGTTTTTAAGCTTCACCCTGGCTGTTGCCGGGGGGCCTAAAATAAACCAGCCTTAGGTTGAGTGGGGTTTCTGGGACCTTTCCCTAGGTTATCCTCATCCGAATGATGGCATTTTGGGTCACCGGGTGTTTATCTTCAGTGTAATGTCCTGGTGGGGTTGAACATCAGTCAGTCAGACCACCTAGAATTTTGGGGGGTTCTTATAGTAAAGGGAGTCACCGTGGCGGAGCGGTTAGATGCTCGCTACGGATCGGAAGGTCGTGGGTTCGCTCCCTAGAGAAGCGAGACTTTTTTTCAAAAATGACTTAGGCTCTCAGGTCGACCCAGCCTTGAGTGGGTACCAGGTGCAGTCCCGGGAAGTAGAGGCGGCCGGCGTGATGCTGACCACATCACCTATCTTGTGCCGATTGGTCAATAAAGATATAGGTCTAGCCCTACATGCCCTATACACCTAAATGTTTGAAAAGTTTCATACTGCAACCAAATAAAGGCCTCGCTAAAGTTTCAATCCGACGGAAAACAAGGTGAAGAGTAGAAGAAGTAGAACTCATGTTCACAACACTAGCTATGCTTATAGTTGGCAGAACTCACCTCAAATCGGTCAGTGGCGGGGTTCAGATCCAGCAAGGAGTAATCAGCGTTTCTGTCTCCATTGGCGTCGATGCTCACAGTACCTGTGATACCTGTTAGAGACATAGGCATACTGTCAATTTTCATACACGGGTGATAGACCCATGATACTGGTAGAGACACAAGCATACTGACAATATTCTTACACAGGTGACAGACCCGTGATACCTGGTAGAAAGACAGGCATACTGTAAATATTCTTACATATTCTAAACAGTCTGGGTCAAAATAATTCGTGCTTATGAATCGCTGCTGAGACCAAAGTTGTGCTCATGTTAGCCGAATGTTTGTCTTAAGCGAGACTATGTTAGCAAAGTTTTACCGTAAACCTTTTCCCTAGAGACATTCAGCTGCATTATAATCATAAATATTCACTTCTGCCGTTAACTTTTTCAGTCCCAAGGAACGCATCTAACGTTCATACGTTTATACATAGAAGCCCAAAAAACGCAAGATGCGCCGATTTTATGTCTCTCTTGACCCCCCCCCCCCTCCTTTGCCCCCTCCCCCACATTTGGGCCTCTGGTGCTAAACCCTCTAGAACTGAAAGAGAAGGAACAGTGTGCGATCCATTGCTAGATGGGCAGAAATGGCTATTGTCATTCCGTGTCAATGTAGAAACTCTTTAATGCAGTAATTCGAGTCTCCTAGTGCGACCTCTTGCTTTTACACCAAATCTTTTCAGGTGAAGCGCCTGCGTTGAAAGTTGCTTTGACTACAAGAGACATTACAGTGAAGAAATGAGTGCGAATAGGGAACGAGAAAAAGATAATACTTTCATTAGAGACAAAGTAGTGGAATAAGTAAGAACTGTCGATAGGACAAGGATAAAAGGAGTGGGTTAGGGTCACTGACGTGCAGTCGATACTATGACGGGTAATTTGTCTAATGTGACCATTAACAATAAATTATGGGTTGTTTTTGTGACCTCATTATGATCAGGAAAGATAGAACTAGCCTGCTTTCATACATCTCCATACATAACTCTCCCGGAGCGTGTAGACAGACAGACCGACACAGATAAATAAAGTTGTTGATGAAAGTTGTTGATTTAAAGTTGTTGGTTAAACATTGTTAGATTACTATTTTCTTCTTCTTTTCCTTCTTCTTTCGTTGGCTTGAAATGTTGTTTGTTTGTTTGTTTAAGTATCCAGAAGCCATGAGTTGTTAACTCTTAGGCTCGGTATTATGGATATCGCAACCTTTCGGCCTTGATTCCATTGTAAATACCGTAAATCTCGGAGAAAATGTGGCTTTCCTGCCTACCCCCTAGATTGAACCCGGACCACATGGATTTCGTCACCCGGTCTCCGCGCAATCCGGTTTAGCCAACTACGCCAGAGAGCCGGGCGTTGGCTTGAAATAAATTGTGTATATCTGCAATGTTGTCTCTAGTATGAACTTCACTGTCTTTTGTAATTCACTCAGCGACCCGTAAAGTTTGACTAGCACCGATGTTTCTCTTGGCCAAAAGTTTTGCCTCGATATGTTGTATTTGGGACAGTCTTGGAGTACATGATCTGTTGTCTCAGGTGCATTACTATTTTCAATTTACTACTTGTATAAAGAATTAGAAATATAGGGACATGCTAGACATAAGGATTGAAAGCTATAGTTATATTTTCAATTTACAAATTGTTATTCTATAAAGATAGTACTTTTTCTAAACCTATAAATAAACATAGGGGGAGCACCTGAGGACGTTGAAAGATTATATATAATAAACAATCATAGCAATGTATTGATCGGCATTCATAGAAAATAACTAGAAATATAGGGACACACTAGACATAACAATTGAAAGCTATAGGTAACCGTGCTGGGACAACAGGGATTTCTTACATAAGAATTCGTTAACTTTACGGGGTTTTTAATTCGGGGTAAAAAAAAAGTAAAGTAAGTAGAGACCCCTTTTACCGCCTTAGGCGCATCAGGCATATGGGAAGAGCACCCATATTTTTACAAACCAATCAGTACTAGGTGGGTAATGTGGTCAGCATTTCGCCGTCCGTATTTACTTCCCCAGGACATACATCCTGGTACCGATTTTTGGCTGGGTCGACCTGCGACGCCCTGTAACCATGATAAAAATCCAAGCAGCCAGCAGTGGGTTTTGATCGCGGCATGTTGGAATTACGAGTCTGTGTAGTTAACTGTGGCTTAGGAGTTGCGAACACGCTTCATAATGCTAGGGTTCGATACCTGCTGCAGACGATTTGTCTTGCGCTGGTTTTGACAATGGTACCGAGAGCTGACCGTCCAGGGGCAATGGCAAACAGCTGAACGTACAAATTTTGCCTGGAAAAACCACAACAGCCAATAAATGCTGGGGTTGGTTCTACAACGTCCTGTAAAGAATACGCAACTTAATTACCTTCAAATGTCCTGTTCCACATCCGCTTGGTGATAGCCAGACCGTCGCTGACATTCCCTCCTGCCTCGATGGTCTCGTTCAGAGCCAGGGCGTACAGGATCACAGCGTCATGGAAGGCACCAACAAAGCTGTTGACCTGGTGGCGATCCAAAAAGTAATGAAAACATGGGGCTGACTGTAATGAAGTTAATAAAAGTTACTTTGTGTACCCAAATGAACACAGCGAAAAACCAGTGGTATGGAAACTAAACCAAACATGTACGGTGACATTATTAATTATACTTGTTTTTTCATGGCGTCTATTTTTTTTGGTTTTGTTTTGTTGAGCCTGCGTTTATTTTATTTTGTTTTCATTCATAACACATCACATTTTAAAAAAAGTTGCTCACGTCACCCTTTAGAGTTTTGAACAGTGTTGCCACTTTGGATCTTTTATATCCAAATTTAGATCTTTTTCATTGCATTTAGATACTGTTTTTGACGTTTAGATCGTAAATATTTTTCTAGATTTTTTCATATGGAGTTAGATATTTTATAGATTTTGTTTTCTTTTATTGTCAATTTAATAATTACTGTGTCAAATATTTACTACAATATTTTTGTTTTGGTCTTCCATGTACATTGTGACAATTGCCATTACTTGAACTTTGAACTCTCACTGGGGTCAACGCACAAATATCTGGCAGCCCCGGTACGGATTAATAAAAACGCGTGTAAATCATACTAACTTTGTTTCAACCATATCCTAACTGTGCTGACTTTGCGTTTCTTTTTCATATGATTTTAAAAAAAAATTGCTCACCTTCTTATGTGGCTTTCACTTTGAAAAAACCTTTCAACATGCCAAAAGTAAAGTATGAGCAACAAATTTGGAAAGAGTGGTTGCATGATGACAAGATTAAAAACTGGGGATATGACCAAAGCTTGTTGTAAGTACTGCAAGTGTGAAATTAAAGCGAAAATACAAAACTCAAAGAATCATGCAGAGACTAAAAAAGCATAAAATTGCAGTTTTATTTAAAGATATTACACCGCTGACATCTGTTTTCAGAACTATACTGATAAATGAATCATCAAAGTTGAAGTATCAGTCGCAATGTTTTTAATTTGTCACTGTGCAATTTCAAACTGTGACCATTTGATCGATTTGTAAAAAAATCTTAGACTAGTTCAATTTGAAAAGTGTGATGTAGAAAGTATAGTTTAGGAACTGAAGGACCTTTTAATCAGCAAACAGTTAGGCTTGAAGAATGTGGCTGTAATTGGTACTGATAATGCCTTAGTGATGGTTGGTATAAACAATGGCGTTTATGCCAAGTTGAAGGAAGCTAACCCATCGTTAATACTTAAAAAATGTATGCGTCATTCATTGCAGCTAGCATTATCACATGCTTCATCTAAATATTTACCAAGGAATTTGGAATACCTTATTGCTGAAACACTTTACTGGTTTTCCAAATCATTTGTCAGACAACAGCAATACAATACATTATATACAGCCTTGAATGATGGTTCCACACCACCAAAATACTGTCAGATTGCAAAACTAGATGGTTATCAATTTAACCAGCTGTTGAAAGAATTATGAAGCAATGGCTGAAGTTGAAGACACACTTTGAAATAACATGACAAAGTGAAAAGTGCTACACAGCTGAAATACTATATGGAATGTACATTGATAAAAAAAAGTTTGTCATTCATTCTCTTTTTATAACCTATTCTAATGAATGCAAAAAGTTAATAAACTGTTCGAATCTAAACTTGTTGATAAAGTTAAATTACTTTATGATCTCACCTTGCTATTTCACTCGGTAAAAGACTGGTGTTGCCAACTTCTAAAGCTGATTTGCTCACTTGCACTATAGAGAGCTATTTGGCTCCTAAGCCACACATTGGATATTAAATCTAATCAAAGATTGATGATTTAAAAACAAAAGGACTGTTAATGAAGAGAACAAATTAGGAAAACGCTGTCAAGATTTCCTGATCTCATTATTGAAGCAGAGACTTCCTGAAAATCTAGATGTTTTGAAAAATATTTCACTTTTTTTCTGCGAGCAACATACTTCAGCCAATAAAGGACATACCTAAATATTGTAAAGTTATGAAATTTTTAGGGGCTACTAATAATAGTGTCGCGGAAGCAGAATTTCAGTTAACCAAAATAAAGTTAGCTGAATGGACAAACAAAACAGAAACTAAAGCGTTTTGGAGTGAAGTGAGACAATTTAAAGATGCCTCATCAAACAGTCCATTCTGTAAGCTCTTTAAAGTGCCATGTCTGCCATGATACTACCCCACTCAAATGCTGACGTAGAAAGAGTTTTCAGTGCTATGAATGATATCAAATCTAACCTAAAAAACAGGATGATAAATAAATCATCTCTTGACCTCTTAAATGCTATCGTGCCATTAAAATTCGGCCTGATGAGACTAGAGAAATAAGCCTACTGTTCCACTTATAAAGAAATTTGAACAGCTAAAGCATACCAGGGTCTTTTTTGGATCTGAAGCTTCAACTTCATTATCCAAGCTAAGTTTATCCTGTGGATCTTGTGAGGCAGACATCAGTGAAGGTGAGGACATGATTATGTAGGGTAAGTCATAACAAAAGCTATGTAATTTTTGACTTTTTCAATTTGGTTGTTTTTTCTAGATCTTTTCTACGCAGATTTAGATCTTTTTAGATATTTTTTGACACCGTTTTGGATATTTTGTGTCAAAGAAAAGTGGCAACACTGGTTTTGAATACTCTCCTCTTTGTTACCGTTGTGTAGTTCATTACTTGTTCAAAAAAGGCCACCAGCCAAAACCTTGCTTTATGTTGTTTTGTGCACGTTTTTCTGCTTCCTAGTTTCGTTAAGATTATCAGTCATTCATTTCATTGGAATTCCTTGAGCTGGTGAACTACGAAGTTAGTCGTGTTAAGCTGCGTGGCTTTGTGGCTTAGTAGTTAGTGAGATTATTTTGCCCGGCTCGCTAGCGTAGTTGGCTAAACCTGACTTCGCGACGACTGGGTGACGAACTCCTTGTGGTCCGGGTTCACCCCGGGGGTAGGCAGAAATGCCACATTTTCCCCAGATTTACGGTATTCATTATGGGATCAAGGCCGAAGGCTGCGATATCCATAGTACCGAGCTAAAAGGTAAATAACTCATGGTTTCTAGATATTACCCCCTCCCCCCCCCCCCCCCCCCCCCCCCCCCAAAAAAAAAAATTGAGATCATTTCACAGAAATGTGTACCTGGGTTCGATTCCCGTGACCTGCTGTTTATAAAATTATCGGTATCCTGGCTTGTAGTTTGACAGTTGCACCATGGATGATACTAGAGCTTCACACATAATATTCTTTTCAGTCAACCCCATGTGGGATGCAATTTTTCTTCTTTTGAAGCTCCATCCAGGCTTCTGCCGGATACCCTGAATATAGCGGGACCTTAAATATGGCCTACCCATAGATATATGGCCAAACGGCTGAAAAGTTTTTTTTTAACCTCTCCACGCGTGATCCTCATCCGCATGGTGACACTTTGTGTCACCGGGTGTTTATCGCTTGTGTGTATTACGGGGGGGGGGGGGGTAAAAGTCAGTGAGTCAATCAGTGAGACAGTCAGTCAGTCAACACATAATATTCCCGTAGTTGGGAGTGAACACATTTCAATCAACCTCCATTGTGGAAAAAAAACAAATGTTAACAAATGTTTTTAATGTAAAGGAATAATGAAGAACGACTGCAGCCGTTACTAATAAACTACAACGATACAACAAACTGGTGCCATCGCAGTATATAAGGCATTCGAATGATATGATCCAAAGATCAATGTAATGCTTATGGCAAGAGCTAAACAAATTCACCATCGACCGAGTCGGTTATTGAAGACAACTTTGACGTTGGTGGGGGCAGTATTTGGGTCTGCCTCCGATGATCCCATGCGTCTTTTTCATGGCTTTTGGCGGCGTGCAATGATAAGCCATTTTATATGGCGCACACAATCTAGTCACAATTATAACCTTAAGCACCCCCTTTTGAGATGCTGGCTGAAAGTCACATTTTTTTCCCTGCAAAGCGCTGAACAGATTGCAATGGGTCAAGCCGTGACGAAAAAACATTGGCACTGAATAAGATACATACTGAGAAAATATGACAATATTATGAGTGGAATGCTCTTGCAATGGATCCCACCAGGTCAAAGAAATAAAGGGACACACAAACACACTGAAGCAGAAGCAGCAGCGATGAAGCAGAAGGTGAATAATAATGACAACAATAATAAGAAAAACAAAGAAACGAAGATGAAAAAAAAAAGAAGAAAGACGAGATGAAAAAAAAAATAGAAAATAACAATAACAACAACAACAACAACAACAACAACAAAACAAGGAGAGAAGAAGAAAGCAACAACTTAGTTGGCTTCTACATTCTTTTTGTATCGGCAGTGGTTCTATTCTAGTTTGCCCCATAATGTGAACCCGGAATCCACATGTGGCTTTCATGTCAAGTAGGGCTGTACCGAATATTCGCTTCGTATTCGCTTCGGAGCCGAATAGTGGACCTATTGACTATTCGGTATTCGGCCGAATAGTTGCGGTCGGGCCGAATGCAGCTTTCCTGCATTAACTAAGCTGTAAGTGACAATTTTCAAGTTTAGTTACTTGTTATAATACTTAGGATTCTTTCATTCCTAGTTATTAGTTACCACAGACTGACTGAAGGATGCAAAACATAAAATGTTTTTAAATGTTTACTGTTCTGTACGAATACTAGCTAGACATGGAAAGAATTTAAACTCTGGCCACATCCAAGTCTATTATATGAAAATCAAACGAACGGAAACACTCAAGTGAGTGCAAACTTCAACTGATCTAACATGCTGAGAGAAGAAATACAATCTAGAATACAATCTAGAAATAAAGTATACTATGCCCTTCAACATTTGCTAAAGTCAAAGTGTCTGTCTCGCAACACCAAGATCAAAATATATAAAACGTTGATAAGACCAGTCGTTTCATATGGCTCTAAACTTGAAGCAAAAATAAAAGAGATGAGGCCTCATTACAGGTTTTCGAAAACAGTCTTACGACAAATCTTTGGACCAATCAAAGATGCTAACAGCGGGGAATGGAGAGTGAGAAGCAACAACGTAACACATTATCTGTTTAAATCACTATTGATCATTGGCATCATGAGAGCTAACAGACTAAAACGGTTGGGCATATTGAAAGAATGTCAGATGACAGAGAAGTAAAAACTGTATACACCTGAGAGAGGAATGGGCGTAGACCACGAGGCAGATAAAAAAAGAAGTTCAAGAGATAATGTCCAGTCAGACCTGCAAACAACTGGTGTCACAAATTGTGAAGATAAGGCCAACTAGAGAGATGAATGGAGACGAGTGATATCTGCAGCAGTAAACCTCAAGGGCTCAGAATGCTAAAGAAGAAGATGACTATTCTGTGCTACTTTATGTGAAGTAAAAGTTCAGCGTACATTTGACATTATGAATGTTTCTTTTTTAAGATATATTTTATACACTATACACTATTCGTATTCGTATTCGGTCGAATAGTTGGTCCCGCTATTAGTATTCGGCCGAAAAGTGAAAATCACTATTCGATACAGCCCTAATGCCAAGCAACCTACGTGAAATTTTGTTAACTCTTTTTTTTTATGTCTGCGTGTAACGTTAATGACTGTACTGAAGAGGCTGATTATTAAAAAAAAAAAAAAAAAAAAACATACCTCCTGTTCGCCGTATGTAAAGTTCGTGTACATGGTTGCAGCCCTGGCTTTGACTTCTTCGGAAAATTTCCGATATTCCGGACTTGTGGGCTTTCGGAGAGTCACCGTCATGAGGCTTTCATAGGCTTTTCTGGCCTTAGCGTTGCGTTCCTCTGTGTCGTTCTGTCGGTACCATGGTCGAGCTGTGGCGTTGTGGCTGTGGGAGGAGAGAGAACATGCGTGTACACAGATGGTTGTACCATTGTGAGACTGTGAGACAGAGAAGAACCTAAGTGTCCCAATCATGGAGTTACACGTTACTGTTCAGAGAGGGGGAGAGAGACAGAGACAGAAAATGACAGAGGCAGAGACAAACAGACAAAAACACAGAGAGGAGACGACAGACAGTCAGATCCTCTGGAATAGTTAAATTCCTTGTTTCTCAACTGTTTTCCTGGCTCAGTTATGGCTTCACTATTGACAAACATTCTTGACCCACCTGCCAAACTGAATGAAATCACACCGACCTTGATGAAGCCTATAAACTTTGAAAAGAAACAAGTGATATCACACCTAGCTTGATAAAGCCCATAAACTTTGGAAGGTGAGGAGTGAAATCACACCTAGCTTGACGAAGCACATAAACTTTGGAAGATAACAAATGAAATCACACCTAGCTTGATGAAGCCCATAAACTTTGGAAGATAACAAATGAAATCACACCTAGCTTGATGAAGCCCATAAACTTTGGAAGATAAAGAATGAAATCACGCCTAGCTTGATGAAGCCCATAAACTTTGGAAGATAAAGAATGAAATCACACCTAGCTTGATGAAGCCCATAAGCTTTGGAAGATAACAAATGAAATCACACCTAGCTTGATGAAGCCCATAAGCTTTGGAAGATAACAAATGAAATCACACCTAGCTTAATAAAGCCCATAAGCTTTGGAAGATAACAAATGAAATCACACCTAGCTTGGTGAAGCCCATAAGCTTTGGAAGATAACAAATGAAATCACACCTAGCTTAATAAAGCCCATAAGCTTTGGAAGATAACAAATGAAATCACACCTAGCTTGGTGAAGCCCATCAACTTTGGAAGGTGAGGAGTGAAATCACACCTAGCTTGACGAAGCTCATAAACTTTGGAAGATAAAGAATGAAATCACACCTAGCTTGATAAAGACCATAAGCTTTGGAAGATAAATGAAATCACACTAGCTTGATGAAGCCCATAAGCTTTGGAAGATAAAGAATTAAATCACACCTAGCTTGATGAAGCCCATAAGCTTTGGAAGATAACAAATGAAATCACACCTAGCTTGATGAAGTCTATACATTTTGGAGGATAACCAGTCTAGATGAAGATTACACTGAAAGCCAACCGCCACCGCCTTATGGAGTTCTTGTGAGAATCGTCTTCTCAAAGTCCATGCCTTGTGGCGTTAGTAGTCATC